GACACTGACCTCAAGGAGGCCTCTTTTCTCTTTTTTTTTTTTTTTAAAAGATGACCGGTAAGGGGATCTTAACCCTTGACTTGGTGTTGTCAGCACCACGCTCACCCAGTGAGCAAACCGGCCATCCCTAAATGGGATCCGAACCCGTGGCCTTGGTGTTATCAGCACCGCACTCTCCCGAGTGAGCCACGGGCCGGCCCAGGAGGCCACTTTTCTCATCCCACCTCCAGGAGGAGTGGCTGCAACCACCGGGCTCTTGAAACAGGTTAGGTACCTCCATGCAGAAAGCAGCAGCAGAGTCAAGGACAGAGCCATCCAAGGGTCAGGGCTCTGCCTTCCCACCAAAGGAGGGCCTGGACAAAAGGCACTGGGGCTCAGACACAGGAGACTGTCAAGGACAGGGTGGACACAGCAGTTGCACACTTGGAAAGACTGCAGCTCTGGAGAACCAGCTCACTAGGCTGCTTTGGGTATAGGAGGGCCAGGATTTTCTAGCTTATCCCCCACCCCTGCATAGGAGCTTGGTTTGTTCAGATAAACTGTAGTGAGGCTGGGTCTGGTGAAGCTACAAGGGCAGCACTCAGTGTGGAGCACACTTAGGGGCAGGAACAAAGCCTAGTGCCTTGCTGATGAGGACCTGTGTGATCTGTTAGCTGTCTGATGCATGGGGGAGTACGAACAGGGCTTCAGCTCTAGCAGAGACCATGCTGGCGAAACAACATCTGTGTTTGACTACACTGAGCTTAATCTGAACAAGCAAAGCCTCTTAAGGGGTGGGAGGCCATCGCCTCTCTGTAGGGCTGAGGAGGTGCTTCAGAGCTTGCTCTGGGGCATGCTGTGTTGCAAGAGCAGGGGCAGAGGATGAGGCCCTTGGCTTCTTGGGGTAAGGTCAGGCAGACGTTTCCTGCTGCCCTTTTGGGTTTTTAGATTAGGCTCTTGTTAACCTCCTGCTGCAACTTCTGTGCAGGGCCGTTCCTGGGCTCAATTTGTAGGAGGCTGCTGATGTCTGCCAAGCTGGATTTATAGTCCTAACAGAAGAGAGGAAAAGAGTGTGGCGAAGGTACCCTGAGTGAGGTGAGATCAAGCTGGGGTGGGGACAGTTGCTGAGGCAGCAGAATGTTTTCAAACCCCAGCCTGTCCACCTTCCCGGGGCTTTCCTGGGGCTCTAGCAATGAGAAGGAAAGTGGCAGAGACCACCTCACCTTGACTGTACTCAGCAAGTGCCGCCACTGGCATAAATCTCTGTAGTTACGCTGGTACCTTTTGGCCAGGATCTTTTTACCTTGAGTGCCTTGTAGGCTTGAGCCCGTCTGTAAAACGCCTTCACGTTCCTTCCATCCAGCTTGAGGGCTTCTGTGCAATCCTTCACTACTTCCTTGTACTGCTTCAGGACCAAATAGCAGAGCGCTCTGACAGGGAAAGACCATTTCAGAGGTTTCAGTCACTTCTTATGGGCACCCGCAAGCCGTGAGGTAGTGTGAGAAGTGATCTCCGATTTGCTGAATACTTACTCTGTGTGGCTATTGTACATCTTCTTCAATCCTCACAACAACTTTTTTGGTGAAATTGTTACAGATGAAAAACCCTGGCTGAGAGGGGTGAAGGGACTTGCCCAAGGTACCAGCTGTTCTGAGGGGCAGACCTGGGACTTAAACTGGGTGGGTTCTCCTGACTCCAGATCCTGACTTCATTTCGTTTAGTTCTATCATTCCTGAATTCACTCTCCTGTATTACGCTCTTTCAAGCAAAGTAAAGGCTTCCTGAAACCTTCCCCTTGACAGATAAAAAAACAAATGCATAAATACTGAACTCCAATTAATGATAAGCATGCTGACATAATTAGGGGTAAAATGAAAAGATGTCTACAATTTACTTTGAAATGCATCAAAAATAATACGGATCAACAGATGGCTAAATAGTGCTGAAACAATATGAGGAGGGCATTTCAAAAAGTTCGTGGAAGGATTTGTATTGTCTTTTAAATCTACTTTTCCACAAACTTTTTTTTTTTTGTCCTTTTTTGAGACCGGCCGCACCACGCTCAGCCAGTGAGCGCACCGGCCATCCCCATATAGGATCCGAACCCGTGGTGGGAGCGCCACTGCGCTCCCAGCGCCGCACTCTCCCGAGTGTGCCACGGGCTCGGCCCTCCACAAACTTTTTGAAGTACCCTCATATAACAAAATATTAGTTTTAGAATTTAGATGATAAGTATATGGGTGTTCAGTGTGGTATGTGGTCTTTCAATTTTCCTACATTTTGAAAATTTCATAATAAAATGTTGGGAAAAATAGTATATCCATACAACAAAATATTCTGCATATGTGGAAAAAAAGGCATGTGTGTGTATCTTACTCATTCAAATCTAGTCCTTCTTTCCCAAAGACAGTCACTAAAAACAAAACAGCCACATGTCTTGGAGCTGATTATGTAAGTTCATCCATTCCACCTCACTGTTTTCAATGGGTGCAGAGAATTCACTTAGTTGAATATACCATAATATATTTTACCAATTTCCTATCAGTAGGTATTTTTCATTATTTCCATTTTGTAAATAAATGACTACCTATGGGAAGGATTGCTAGGTCAAAAGACATGTGCACTTAAAATTTTGATTATTACTGCCAAAATGTTCTCCAAAGCAGTTGCACTATCAAGAACAGTTATTGACAGAGCCTATTTTCCTACAACTGACCAACCCTGGGTCTCAAACTTTAATATCTGCCAATATGGAAGAAAATAGTATCTCACTGTTTTAATTTAGTTGCTTTAAATATGAGTAATGTTAAACATCTTTACATAGGGTTTCGAAATCAAACTTATCTTTTTCTTTAATGATTTCTGTGGGATTCCCACCCCCTCCCCAACATAATTCCTTCCCCACTGCAAGATAAACCATGCATTCTCTTAAAACTTAATGGTTTCACTCTTTACATCTGAAACTGTGATCCGCTTAGAAGTTATTTTAAAATACGGAGTGAGGTCGGATTCGGGTTTATTTTTAACTCTTACCCAGCCAACCCAACCCCATTTACTGAATAATCCCTCTTTTCCCATACTTTATCATACACTAAATTCTCTTATGCTGTTATTCTCATTTTTTCCTGACATTTATGTAGAAGAAAGCCTTTTTTAATGCAATAGCTTAAACACACAGTTCAACAAAGTGTTGAGTCAATTCAAATTAACTTCAACATATTACAAAGAACTATGAAGCCTGGAGGAGGCTAATGTTGTAGCAAAAAAGCAAGTGCCTGCCCAGAAAGAAAGGACACTGACCTCAAGGAGGTCATTATCATGAATCATTATCACAAATTAAAAAGAAAAAAATTCTACCAGTACTTTGTGATTGCATGGAATTTATAAATTAAGTAAGAGAAAAACTTCTCCTTGTAGCAATTTAAAGATAGGTACAATTCTTTGGCATGCTTCCCACTGAGAGGCGGAGGAGCATATGTTCTCTCCCCTTGAATTTAGGCAGTCTTTGTGACTGATCTGACCACAGAGGAAGAGACATGATGTGACTTCCAAGGCTAAGTCATAATAGCCCTTGTAGCTTCTGCCTTGGTCTCTGGAACACTTGCTCTTGGAGCCTTGACATGCCATGTGAGAAGCTGGCTAATCTGAGGCCACCATGCTACAAGAAAGCTCAAGCCAGCCAGCACATGTTAAAAAGGCTGCCAGGCAAGAAGAAAGAGGTGCCAGCTTGCTCTAGCAGTTCCATCCCCCAGTCATTTGAGTCATCCCGGCCTGGGTACCAGACATGCAAAGAAGCTTTTACATGACTTCAGCTCCAGCTGCCATCTTGCTGACCCTGAATGAGAAACCCTAGATGAGAACTGCCCTTCCCAAATTCCTGACCCAAAAATAACAAGCAAAATAAATGAAATAAAATAACTGTTGTTAATCCACTAAGTTTTAGAAAATAGTCCCTGATTTAAATTCTGAACATACAGGAACTGTAAAGAAACTAGTTTTCTCCCTATGGGCTTTGCAATTTAAAGAATTAGACAAGTTTCTGGGAAGTAGAGGAACCATAGCATAAGCATTACACACTATATGGTGACTTCAGAATATAAATGTGATGAATATGATTATATATTATTTCTAAAGTTTATATTTAAGATGATAAAAATATATAACTGTGGCTTATAAAATAAATCCCCTTGGCTTTCTATAAACAGAATGATTTTGTACCTGGCCAGAAGGGTTTTAATTACAAGGAGGTCTGGGAGATAACATAAGTGAGTGAAAAGGAACACAAGCTTTGGACTCACAAAGACTTAAACTGCAGCGTTGCCAAGTATTGTTTAACTTTGTGCTCATTAATTCATCTTTCCATGCCTGTTTAGGTAAAATGGATGATGACCTAACTTGAAGAACTGTTGGGAGTACTCAATGAGGCTCTTATGGGAGGGTCATTCTGGGCCTGGCAAATTTTAGGTGCCAGGTACTGAGTGGCGCTATGCACTCAGGTCTCACCTGTACAAAGAGAACTGAAGTAAGCCAAAGACTTGACAGTGTTCCATATAGATGCATAAGCACGAGGTGGAGCGTTAAAACTATGTCCAAGATGTGGGATGATTTCAGCCATAATGGATGAAAAATCAGTTTTGAAATCAGTTTTCTAAATTAAGATTATAAATCCAATTCAATCACAACAAAAAGCTGTCCAAGAAGATATTTTTTGGAATTGTCAAAATGATGCTAAGGTTTAGCTAGAAGGACAAACATGGGAAAATAGCCAGGGATGCTCTGATTAAGAAAATGAGAAAAAGACTAGCCCTGGAAGATAATATAAAGCAATAACAATTAAAATAGTGTGGCAAAGATACATTTGCATGAAGGACAGTATTTAAATGTAACAAAACATTGTCCCAGATGTGGCAAAAATCCAGGAAAATAAGTTAATGGAGGTGTCCAGCAGCTAACCAAAGCCAAAGAAAGCCCAGGGAAAGAGGAGTTAAAAGGTTATGCCACACAAACATGGAACAAATGGGCTGCAGGCTGCTTTTTCAAGTTAGCCTGGCAGATTGAGGCATCCATGGTCTAATCAGCAGTAAAACCACAGGTCCAAAATTCCAAATCCTAGCTTTAAAACTAAAAGTTATCTTTTCAACTCATTTGGGAACAAAATCTGACCTGAACTGACATGAGGCTTAGTTTTTATCCCACCCTATGTGAACATGGAATTTCCATGTTTCACTGCAGAAACACTAATAATTAACTTCAGCAAGCTGCCCCAGACCCTGCTAAGGTATTATGTAATTCAGTATATGGACCATATAACCTTACTTAAATCTCAAACACATTTTATCCCAAGAATTTTGAATAAGGAACTGTGAGCCTATATTAGATTTAAGATTTTTGAACAAGAAAGTGATGTATGTAGGTTGGTAGAGAAGGAGAAACATTTATAACATTTTCAACTAAATGTTTTATAATAAATGTTTGAATCAGATATGGTCCCTTGCTGAATGTTTCAAGCTTCTGATGGTAAAACTAACAAAAAGATCTTATTGGAGCCAGATTCCAAGTATGGTGCCACTGTTTACTGGCTGGGTGAGCTTAGGCAAAGCCCTTCTCTGAGTCTCAGTTTTCTCAACATTAAAACAGGAAGATCACCTACCACGTATATATCTGAGCACTGTTGCAGAACAGTGACTTCCACACGGTAAAGGGACAGTGCCCCAGATCCCAGCGCTCTCTGTCAGTGGTCACTGACAGCACTTCTTGGCACAGAGTTTTCACAGGCCCACAAGTCTAGCCCCTCAGGCTAGACTGTACACCTCCTTCTTGCTCTCAGGCCAGGCAACAGTTACTCCACACCCTGGCTTCTAGGCCAGTGCTCTCAGACAGAGATGGTGCCAAAATTTCTAACAGGAAGGCCTAGGAGAAGCCATGGGGTGTGGAGCAAGGGGAGGGTGGAAAGGTTGAGAGACTTGTATTAAGGTTGTGTTTGCACAGCAAGTGTGCTGCTTTTACTTATATTGTCTGCTTACTTGGGGAGGTTAATGAAAATTCTGAGGAAAGGGGCTAACAATACCCAGGCTGCCCCTTGGGTATCCCTCAGTTTCTTCCCCTTTATGAGAGTGAATATCACTGGCAATGCCTAGCTCACATTGTGAATTCACGTTTTAAGCTGTAACATACTCACTAAATCTAGGGAAGAGGAGCCCACCACAGTCCAAGAGAAGACTATGGAACAAAACATCCAATGTCCTGAAATGCCCCAGGCCAGCAGCTGTGGAGAAGATACCTGTTGCTGTATGTGGCAGAATCCAGGTTACTAAAGAAGAGGCTTTCACTGTACTTCTCAATAGCTTTCTTATGGTTTCCCTTCTTTACCAGCTCATTGCCTTCTTCCTTCAGAACTATGGCTCTCTCCACATCCCCAGCAGAAGGCACTAGATAAAAATCCAGAAAAGGAAAAAACATGGAGCACGTACCCAACTGAGACCAATGAGATCTCTTCAGCATCATCTCTTCCAAGTTGTCTACAATCCTGTCTCCCCCAGAGATTTCCTACACTGTTGTAAATCATCCCATTCTGATTAATGACTTCCCCCAATTAATGGCTTCTGGGAAATTAAACAGTTTTTATTCAGAAGAGCTTGGGATCTCCTCATATAAACATATTTATACATGCACATCCTAACATACATGATAAAAAGCAACCCAGGTTCTAGCCTTGGCATTGCCATTTGGTAGATGGAAGATCTTTTGTGACCTACCTAACTTTAGGACCCCAACTTCCTCACAAATACAGTGGGGCAATACTTATTCCACACATGGCTATTTTCAGGGTCAAATCTGAGACTACACTAGAAAGTACAGAACACCTTATAAATTTAAAGCAACAGAGTAAGTAAATAAGTATTAATAAACAAGAATCTGGTAAAGAAAGGGTATAGTTTCTGGGTTTTCAGAAAAGGGCAGAACTCTGTTTTGGTCTAAGCCTGTGGATATCCTCCCTCACCTAACATGTGCAGCTCTGCTCCAGCCTTCAAAGAGAGAGAGAGAAGAGAGAACAAGGTGAAATCCAAGCTGTGCAGCCTCGTGTTCAGGCCCTTCTCTGCCTGCCCCCGATTAGCTGTTCCAGCCTTGGCTCCATATCAGCTGGTTTTTAAATTTTTAAAAACTCTTTTTATAAAATACTGAATATACCTGACAAGGGTAAGGTAATAGGAATAAAACTAGCACTCTGAACTCATCCCCCAGCTTAAGAAACAGAACATTACTAGGACCTTTGAAGTCCTGTGGACCCCTCCCTATCTCAGTCTACCCCCGGAGGAAACTATTGTCTCCAATTCTGTGCTTCTTTCCCTTTAAGAAAAAAAAAATAGTTTAACTACATAGGATAGTACCATTTGTTGTTTACTTTAAATAAACGATTTGTTTTTGAATGTCATAGAGAAATAAACAATTCTATGTATTCTTTATGACTTGGGTTTTTCCCCCCTCAGCATTATATTCCTGAGATTCATCTGTTGATGCATATACCTGTGGTTCATTCATTTTCACTGCTGCAATACTGCAATTGATTTGCCCATTCTCCTCTTTACGGAGCTTTGGGTTATTTCTAGTTTTGTTTCTTGCTATTACAAACATTCTGCTATGAGCACTCCTGCACACGTCTCCTTGTGCACACGTTTCTATAGAAGCAGAACCAGCAGGCTGCTATGTGTGCATGGTTTCAGCTTCACTTGAGCCCTGCTACACACTGCTCACAGCAGTCACTGACTCCCACAGTTCGCCCCATGCACTGTCATTCTCCAGTTCTCCCTGCTGTCTCTGCCAAAAATTCTCTTCCCTTCTCTCTTCCCACCTGATGACCTCATCCTTCAAGGTCTGGCTCAAGCTGTCATCTCCGTGACCAACCCCTCTGTGAGTCTTTCCCTGACTCCTCCAAGCACTTAAGTCAGTTTCCACTTTGAATTCCCAAAACACTAAAGACTCTAAAGCATTTGTTCCTCCTCCTTGTAGTTTAAAATGCCCTGTTTATGTGTCTCAGTCCCTCATTAGACCCAGAGCTTCCTGAGAATCAAGACTGCCCTGTCCTCTCTGTGTCACACTGCTTAACACAAGGCCTGGAGCATGGACAGCTCAGTGACTCCAAAAGAATGAAATCAATGGCAGGTGCACTGAAGCTGTCTAGTGTGTTAGCACTCCAAATTTTCATTCCAGGGAAGAGTGGGGGACACTTACCAGCCTCCCACAAGCCAGAGTGAATGCTATCCATGGCTAGGTAAGTGTCCTACTGGGAAGGGGAGTAACTCCTGCCTTCTCCTGACACCTAAAGGTCATTTATACATGGCAGAGCTCCAGTCCTGATCCCTTCTGCACCTCTCTGGCCTCAATCCCTAGCTTGCTGGACTCGGACAATTCCCCTGGAACATTAAAAGAGCTACCTAGTGAGGCTCTGCCTGATGAATGGCGTTCATTTTACACAGTTGAGGTGGGCAGTCTCTTGTTTTTGGCTGCCCAGCTTGGATCTCCCTTCTCTTATTCATCCTTCTCCAGATATTCACATGGTGCATGTATTACTGGGGAAGCATCACCCTCTAGCTATGGAGAGGGACAGATGGCTCAGGGTTAAGCTAATCACAAAATCTCATTCCCTGGTCACAGTGACTAGTTAAGGGAATAGCCTGTGATCAAACAGACCAGAACAGACTGAGAAAGTATGTGAGCTAGGGATTTTGGGTGAAAAGTGCCTTCTTCTCCCAGCAATCTATCAGGAAAAAAGATTTTCTCTCTTATTCTGGATCATGAGTCATGGTATATGGATGTGAGGCCAGGAACTGCTATTGCTAAGTTACTACTAGGAGGGAAGCTTGCCCGAAGACCAAGCTGACACACAACAGAGAAGAGAGCTGAGAGAAGTACAGAGAAACGGAGTCAGAGTCTGACAATGCAGTGAACTGCTAGAATAAACCTTGCCTGAATTCTCTTTGGACTTTTCAGTTATATTAGCCAATAAATTCCCTTGACTATTTTTACCACATTGCAACCAAAAACATCCTAAGTGATACATCCCAAATGCTGCCAGGGGAAGAGAAGGGAATTAATACCATATACCAGGCTGGAAGTTTCACATGCCTTAAATCATTTAATCATCACAGCTATAAGGTAGGTTTTATCATGACCCTCATTGTACAGCTAAGGAGACAATCTCTAAGAGATTTTCTCATTTTGTTTTGTTTTTTACTTTTTTGGTAAGATTATTTTTATAACTCAGCTAAACAAGGCCAATTTTTATAGAACTACTCTAAAGAAAGTGGCTACTGGGAGACTGCAAGACTCTCTGGGCAGGGAGTCACAGCTCACCTCTGTTCTTTGTAGTTGTGGTTTCTTTGGATGTGCTTTTAGCTATCTCTTTCTGGTTCTCTGAAGGCAAGGAATTCCACCTCTTCTGAGCTGAAACAGGCACCGATGGGATAGAGGGCAGCTTAAGGCGCCACTTGGGCCCAAGTGAGTCCATGAGAGCTCTGGTCATTCTGGAAAGGAAGGCAGAATTGCAGGGAGGTTTCCAACTGGGTCAAGAAGATATTCCTCTTTTCACACACCCAAGGGAGGTAGGTCCTTTCAGAAGAGCCTGTGTTATCATCTTCCGCCTGGTCTGAACCGTCTCTTTATGTTCTTCAACATGCTGCAGAACAGAATCAGGAGTCTGCCACCCGTAAGTGCCTTCTCAGATCAGCCACATGACACTCCTTCCTTTGAACTTGGTCTCACTATGTTAACTTTAAAGTGGTGATATGTTGCTTGGTAAGGGTACTGAAACCTTGCCCCCAAAAGACTACACATTCCCCAAGAAAGGATCATATGTTTTAATTGTTCACATTTCTCAATTATATCGTTCAATTTTCTCAAATACGAAAAATTGTTCATATTTTCTCAGTGAATCTAATACAAAGCCAGGCAAGCACTTGACATTTGATGAATGCTCAGAGATTTTTTTTAAATGCAAATCTTATTTTATTCTCAAATCTTAAAACTTTTTAGGGGCCGGCCCGTGGCTCACTCAGGAGAGTGTGGTGCTGACAACACCAAGGCCACGGGTTCAGATCCCATATAGGGATGGCTCATTAGCTCACTGGGTGAGCATGGTGCTGACAACACCAAGTCAAGCGTTAAGATACCCTTACCGGTCATCTTTAAAAAAAACAACAAAAAAACAAAAAAAAAACTCTTTAGTAGTTCCCATTTCCCCAGCTTAACATGGACTGTGAGATCTGGTCCCCTTCTTCCCCTCTACCCTTATCGTGTGCCACACTGCCTTCTGATCCTTATGTTCAAGACTTTGCACATGCTTTTTCCTCCACCTGGAACAATCTCGTCCACTTCCCATTCCCACCTCCTAGGCCCACCTAACTTCTGTTCTTTAGATCTCAGTTTAAAATGCTGCTCAGTGACCATGTGCATTTTGTTAACTGATCTCTAGCACCCAGCACACCACCTGCACCCACCAAGGCCCAGTAAGTATGGGCTGAATGAGTGAATAAAGCCACTGTCTACTTTTTCTGCTTCTACAACCATGTTCCTATGTTACAAGAATGAAAACCATACATACAGATATCTCTACAAATTCATGGTCTCCAACCAGGGCCTCAAAGCTGTATTCCTAGCTGATCCAATTATTTCAAACCTCTACTTTCCTCAAACCTGTTCCCTAACCCTTTTCCTTTTTCAGAGCAAACTTCTTCATATCTCAAATACAAACCTACCTGCCTGGGTGCCCAATCCTTCCTGTTTCTCTGCTGTCACAATATAAAAGACGACAGGGCTAATCTTTCCACCTAAGCTGATCCTGTCTCCTCCTGCTTCTCTCAGGGACCACACTCAGGTAGCATCTCCCTTTCCTACATCTTCATCCTCTCTCTGTTGACTCCACCTATCAGCATTTAAGCCCCTCAACTCTTTCCTCACTTAATAAAACCCTCCCGGACACCTCTATGACATCCCAACTGATGGAGTTTGGATGTGTTGTCCCCTTCAAAACTCATGTGGAAATTTGATCCCCAATGTGGCAGAAACTGATTGAGTCATGGGGGCGGATCCCTCATGAATGGATTAATGCTCTCCCTGGGGGAGGGGGGATTAATAAGTGAATTCTTGCTCTATTAGTTCCCGCGAGAGCTCATTGCTTAAAAAGACCCTGGCACCTTCTCTCTCTCTCTTGCTTCCTGTCGCCATGTGATCTACTTGTACCCACCGGCTGCTGGCCGCTTTCCGCCATGAGAAGCAGTCTGAGGCCCGTGCCAGATGCAGCTGTCCCAGAATCGTAAGCCAAATAAACCTCTGTTCTTTATAAATTACCCAGTCTCAGGTATTCTGTTACAGCAACACAAAACAGACTAAAATACCAACTATACTCCCTGCCTCCCTTGACAGCCACACTTGAACTCATTGCCATGTGGCTTCTAGCTCCACTGAAACAGTTCCATAAGAATCATCAGTGACTTCATTGATAAACTCTTAGTCTACTTCCTTCTTCAAATACTCCTTCCCTGGGGATACTTAATGCCCCAAGTTTCCTCCCACCTCTGTGGTTGCTGTTCCTCTGCAAGTCCTTCAGATGCAGGAGTTTCTCAAAGCTCCATCTTCTTACTGCTGTGGTGTTCTTTTTCTGTCCCATAACCTCAATCCACCTCTATGCTGGTGACTCTCAAATCTGTATTTCTAACCTATATTTTTCTCCTTTGCTCCAAACACATGTAAAAACCCAACCACCTTCCTTACATCTTCTCTAGTCTCATGTCCCACAGTTACCTATAAGTCAACATATCTATAATTTGGACGTCCCTTCTATTCCTCCCTTCTTATCACCCCTCAACCATGAAAGCTTGTTGAGATACTTCCTGAATGTCCCTGGAATCGGTCCCATTGTTCTCTCTCCATTATCTCTACCCTCTCCTCAGGACTGCTGCATGCTCCCTTACTATTCTGTTCCCCTTCATCTCATCCTTCAACATGGCAGCCAATGAGCTTTTCTCTAAAATACAAACCTGCTAAAGACCTTTTCATGATGCCTCACTTACTCAGGATTAAGTCCAAGTCCCTGAATACCAGGCCCTGTGTGCTCTGGCCTCACCATCCTGTCCCAGGCTGAGCTCCCTGCCTGTAGCACCATGTGAAATGAACTTCTTACAATTCCTACAATATGTTACATTCACTCACCCTTACATGTGCTGCAATTTCTCCTCGCTGGCCCCCCACCCCAGATCTCTATTTTTCAGTTTTAGCTCCTCTGAAAGCCCTCTCTGGCCTCCACTTCTTCCTGCTAGTTGGTTAGGTGCCTCCTCTCTGCCCCTAGGGCACCCTGTGCTGCCGTCTACCATAGCACTGGTCACACTGAATTGTGCTTGCCTATTACTGATTGGTGTTCTCCAGGAGACCAGGAGCTCTATGATGGCAGAAAGAAGTATGTCTCAGTCCAGGACCTAGGGCAAAGCCTGGCACATAACAGGCATATTTTGAATGACAGAAATTAAGAGGAGGCAAAGAGAAAACAAAGGATATTGACAAACAAGTCAAGCCAGAAATGAAGCACTACATACAAACCATGAAGTCCTGTTAAGGGTCTGCTGTTAGTGTGGCGTTTGGCTTTCTAGCAGCCCACACAAAGAGGGAAAACATCATAGTATATAAATGAGGGTATCCATGTGATAAAAACAAACAACTGCTCAAAAGACCAGAAAGAAATTTCACCTGAGGGTTCTCAGGGAAGGGTCATGGTACAATACATTGAACCACGGCCACAAACAATATCCTTACAGGCTTGTGTCATATCTGCTTATGCTTTTGTCTTATTCTCCCAATTAGAGTTAGTTCTTTGAATCTGGCACAATGCCTTACACAGAGCTCAATAAGTATTACCGTGTGAATAAATTTGAATGTCTAGGCAAAAATCAATCAATCTCCGTAATTCTGACTCCTTAAACACCCGCTAAACATAACAGTAGATTCTTTCCCTCACATACTCCTTAAAAGTTTTCTAAGTCTAGCCAAAGAGATCCTCCCAGAAGACAACCAAAACAACAGCCCAAAGCCAATCAAGGAGGACAGGGAGTTTCCATGGAGTCTGTCTACAGTGAATTGAGCTCACCTGTTGATGCCTTCCAGGGCTGATGTCACACTGTTATCAATCTGCAGCACAGTTTTGTAGTCGACATAAGCCAGGGGGTACTTCTCCAGAGCCTCAAAGGCAGATGCTCGCCGCAGCAGGGGCTTAATGCCAAATGGAACCAAGGCCAGTGCTCTAGAACAGGAGGCAAAAATGTCATCTGGCTGCTGAGCCACCAGGGCTTCCACTGCAGTTTCTTCCAGACAGAGTGATCTGCAGCACTCAGTATAGTATATAGGAGGTAATTTCTGGCTGAGAGATAACTGCTGAAAATGCCAAATCTTAGACCAGGGACTTTTCAACTTAGACTGAAGTGGGGAGGGGAAAGAGGGCAGAGGACCATTAGTATTGTGAAATTTGTTTGCACATACATCAATTTTCATAGTTTCAATCCCGCCAAAATCAAGAATGAGTACCTCATGGCTTTCATGCTACTATGTATTTTTACAGTTGCAGCCCAGTAAATAACAGGCTTTGGAGTCAGATGGGGTAGTGATTGAACTCCACCTCTGCCACTAACCATGTGACCCCAAGGCAAATCACTTTACTGCCTCCATCTTCAGTAACTCAGTTCTGGCCTGGGAAGCATGGTAAACTTACCACACCAACTGTAAGCACTCAAAGAAGGAAACCTAGCACAGACCCTGGAAAAAATTAACTTAGGACAGGCTTCATGAGCATGCTCACCTCCCTCCTCCTCTCCCATCTATCACCAGGACATAAATCTAAGGCAATGTCACATGATATCAGATCTGAAAACACATTTAGGGTATGTGTGCTAGTTTAGCAATGATGAATGAAAACAATATTAGACTGGTTTTAAAGAAGAAAGAGGTATAAAAAACTGTTCAATGTCCTCTACGGTATCATTTATAGATACCATTTTCTCCTTTCTCTTTGCTTCTTTTGAGACAATCTATTAACCTCTATCCTTCCTTTCCTCCCTCCCTCCCTCTGACACCCATCCCAACCAGTCACTAGTCTATTAACTCTACCTCATCCCCAGGTCCCAAATCTCACAGAGACTTTAAGGCCTACCTCTAATTGCTGGTCCTACTCCTTTTTCAGCAGCAGAGCCAAGACTCCAAAGACACAAGTCAGGGGCCATAAGGACCAACTAGAGCCTCCTATTCTCAGTGATCTGGTGACACTTAGTGATACTTCCTAATATCTGTCACAGATATAACTGCTGGGATCCTTCCAAACAAGAAACAAACCAGATAAACCCACCTTCTGAGACCCTCAGGCATCCCAAAGTTATCCTTGGCCACTTACAAAGTACAATCTTTAATGCAGTCTCTGATATTTCCATCCTTTAAGTGGCATGCTGCTCGGTTGGAGTAGAGAACACTTTCTTCTTCAGGGTCTGAAGAACCTATCCAAGTGGAGGCAGAAAGAGTGAGAAGGTTGGGAAATGGATACCTTAGTACACTGGGATGTATTTCACACCTGAAGCTCTCTGGGCTTTAGGGAAAGGCAGCAGAAATGACTGTAACTTGATCAGGCTTGTTGGTCTGATGGGCTAGCATGTTTGTCATTCTTACATGACAGTGAGGACGCTGAGCTTTCTGCCATTCACAGGGAACCAAGCATCTCCTTATTCACTTACTCCAGCATTGAACTTGGTACCAGGCAAAAGATAAACATGAAACGACTGGCTCCTGCCTCAAAGAAATCTATGCTGTCACTCCTTAGGGGTGTGTGTGTGTGTTAATTTCATTACAAAAAGCATGTAAACCCCATAAAGAAAAAAATTAATAAAGAAAAAGAACAATAGGATAAATGCCATGATAAGTGGACTAAGAGTTGTAGGGACATGAAAGACAGAGACTGGTTCTACCTGGTGAAGTCAGAGGGGACTCTGCCAAGGAAGTGATAACTGAGCTGAGTCTGACAGGACTATGGAGAACTTAATTTGGGGAAGGACTCAAGCTTCTTAATTCTCAAGGGGAGAATTTATTAGACATTTCTCTAAAGGCAGTCCTCACTCTCAGGAATTCACCCACAGTGAAGCTGAAGTCCTTCACTGTGGCCACAATGATTTTCATTTTTTTTTTTTTTTCCCTTTTTGTCTTTTTTCGTGTCCGGCAACAGATCGCAACCCTCAGTGTCAAGCCCGTACCGGACCGGGACCGGCAATGGGATCGCAAACCTCGGTGTTGCTCCCACACCTCGCTCAGCCAGTGAGCGGGAACCGGTCTGTATGTGGGATCCGAACCCTTGGCAGGAGCGCCACCGCGCTTCCCAAGCGGCACACTATAGCAGTGTGCCACCGGGCCGGCCCAAGATTTTCATTTTTAAAGATAATTTTCAACCACTTCATACCCACTAGCATGGACCATAATTAAAAAAACAAAACAGAAAGTACATGTTGACCCAATAATTTTACTTCTAGGTATATACCCGAAATAACTGAAAACAGACTCTCTTTTTGAAAATTTTTAAACATATAGAAAACCAGATAACAGATACTCAGTATCCACCCCTAGACTTAGCATACATTATTATATTTGTTTCTAGCCTTTATTTTGATATGGCTAAAGCTCCTCCACCCATCCCCATCCTTTTCCCTATGCTCCCTCCCCATACCCCCCAAAGGGCAGAACAATCCTGAAGCTGGTGAATAACATTTTCAAATATGTCTGTCTACCTTTATTATACATGCATTCACAGGTAAGATACAACATCATTTTATGTCTATTAAAACATTTCCTAAGTGGCATCATATTGCCTATCCTTCTGCAACTTGCTTCTTTCACTGAGTATCATGTTACCATGCTGGTATTTGATGTCTTTAATTCAATACCAAAAAAAACCCCATAGTAAATAGTGGGTTTTCTTCTTATTTTGCCAGGCCCCGAGACAGAAAGTACAGAGATAAGTAAATCCATCCTTGTCTTTAAGGAGCAATCAGAAGTACTCAACTGTAATCCATCTCAAGTCACCACAGCATGGTTGCTCAGAAATAGCAGGGGTGTGGTGGAAGGGGCATCAGAACCTACAATTCAGCCTTTGATCCTGCCCAAGTCACTCAACCCCTCTCATCATGTGTGTTCACCTAACATAGAAGATATCACTTTACGGACTGGCTGGAAGGGTTCATTATATCAGGTTACTCCCTGCACTCCTTTCAAGATCAATAAAGCCGATCAGAGCATCAAGGACTCGCCCACAATTACCAAGAAAATCAGTAACAGCATCAGAACCAAACTCTGGTCCCTAGGTAAATCTAGACACAAGACCAGCTCTTCTAGGGATCTGAATAAATCCATACAAAAGCACAAGCTTTCCCAGGCTATCTGGGGTGAGAGGAAAGAAAATGGCAGAAACCTTAATACCTTAGATTCCTCAGCAACTTCATCAAGTGAGGCTGACATGAGGAGGTGGACCCATAGAGAATTTTCTAGAAAAAAAGAAGGGGGCAAAAGAGTGTCTTAAAACTGCAAGAAATTCAAACAAAAAAGACTGGAATTTGGAGACGATTTTGGGAGAAGTCTAACAGAATGATTAAAAATTTGGAGTCAGCAATCAGACAAATCCATATTCAAATCCTGGCTCTGACGTATCTTCATTGTATAACACTGGGGTAGGCACTTTAACTTTTCTGGACTCCTCACCTATAACGTCTTACCCGTAGAGTCATAATGAATATGAAAAGAGATAATATCGATAATGTCTAGCACACGATAAAGCACTCAACAAATGCTAGCTAAAAAAATGAAAAAGAGGAGAGAGGCAAAGGGAAATAGGTACCAAACCGTGGCTTACAGAAAATGGGATCCAAGGCTCCTCTGAAAAGTCAGGGCTTTGGGCCAGCCCCGTGGCTCACTCGGGAGAGTGCGGCGCTGGAAGCGCCGAGGCCGCAGGTTCGGATCCTATATAGGGATGGCAGGTGCGCTCACTGGCTGAGTGTGGTGCGGGCGACACCAAGCCAAGGGTTACGATCCCCTCACCGGTCACACACACACACACACACACACACAAAAGAAAAGTCAGGGCTTTAATGGGGACTCCTAGATAAGACACTTTGGAGAAGAGGCTTTGGGCAAAGGTCTGTGGTTGGTTGAAGAGAGCTGGAAGCTTCAAGAACTGATAAGAATATGCTACTCCTCTGTTTAAAACTCTCCATGACCTATGTCTTACTTTCCCTCCACCGACTCACTATGCGTTGACTCCAGGGTCACACCATGCTTTTTTCGTCTAGAAGCCTCTGTTATTCCAGTTTCCTCCACCTGCAATGCTCAGCAATCAAAACTCTGGGCGCTTGGCTTCTTCTCATCATTCAGACATCACCTCAAATATCACTTCTTCATAGAAGTTGCCCTTGATTTCTCTCTCTAAGGGTGCTCCCCAGTCAACTCTACCGTATCACCCTATTATCTTCTTCATAGCCCCAATTATCCCACAGGTCTTGTTTACTTATTTCTTAGCTTAAGATCCATGCCCCCTTCCCCACCAAACAAGAACATAAGATCTTGAAAGGATCTTCTGTCTTGTTATACACTCAGTATATAACAGGTGCTCAACAAAACAGTAATTTAATTGGGATCAGAATGAGGCCTGAATTACTTAAGATAGTGGCCACCAGAGCAGTTAAAAAGCAGACGGAAAGAAAGGACCAAGGAAGTTTCTCGCAGGATGCCAAAGTCGGGAAGGGGCAAGAAGAGTTGGGGAAGGGCCTGGTGGGACGGTCGGACGTGGGGAAAGAAAGCCCCAGGAAGAAAGGGACAGAGCGAGCCTTGGGTGGTGTGGCGGGGGGTTGGAGGAAGCAGGCCTGGAGGAGAAACGGGAGGCGGGATGGTACCTTCAGCCTGCAGCATCTGCAGCGCGCGGCTGTAGAGCGCGGAGGCTTCGGCGTACTGGCCGGTGCGAAATCGCTCGTTGCCGGCAGTGCGGAGCCCCTTCACGGTACTGGCCGGTGCGAAATCGCTCGTTGCCGGCAGTGCGGAGCCCCTTCACGGACTCTCGGAGTTTGGGGACCATCCCGGGACCTGGTTGGCGAACAGGCAACGCCTCAGTTCCCCACCGAGTCGTGCGGAACAGCGTCCGAGAAGAAGCGACGGTTGCGAGTACTCCCGTCGCAGGGCTAACCCGGCCGCGAGAGGGCGAGGCGGGGAGGGGCGGGGGCGGGGCCTGCGCGGACGGGAACCCGCAGCGCCCGGCCCTCGGCGCGTGCTCAGTTTGGAACTTGTAGTCCCTCCGGGCGCTAGGTGGTTGGAGCCACGTTGAGAGCCATCCGGTCCTCCTAGAGCGTTATGGATGAAGCAGTGAGGGAGGCCGGGTCGCTGTTGTCATGGAGCTTTTGTTCTAGGGGGGCCCGACAGGCTGCTAAATCATGAGCAAGTGAGCACTCTAATCTCACGTGATTAGTGATGTAAGGAAAACAAAACAGGACAGTGCACTAGAAAGTGGCCACGTGGAAGGGCTATTTTAGATAAGGGAACAAGGGAGGACCTTTCTGAGGGGGTAATTGAGCTGAGGCCTAAGGTAATTTAGAGAATGCTGTTCCAGAGAGATAGCAAGCGCAAAGGCCCTGAGGCTAGAAAGTACCGGGCCTAGCGGTCTGTAGTTGTTGATTTAATAAATGAATGCAGATAGACTTGATAGATGAAGATCTTTCACTCAGAATGACTTCACTTTTATTTCCAGCTTCATCTTACGTCACTCTCTATGTCCCACTCACTACTCCAATTTTTTTTTTAAACTGCTCCTTGCTACCTGAACACCCTCAGCTTTTCCTCTTGCCTCCTAGCCTTTGCTTGTTTCCCCCTTTTCCTGTAATTCCTTTCCATACATTTTTCCCTAATTCTGAATCAATTTATAAATTCAACTTAACCATCATCTCTGAAAGCCTTTCCTCATTCTGCCCCTCGTCCAACATGTCCCTCCTCAGCTCTCTATTGGTCCCTAGGTTGATCCCTAATTTAGCAATTATCACTCTGTGATTGTCAGTTTGAGTTTTTTTCAAAGACTGTTAGGCCTATAAAGGCAGGAAGTAGGTCCTCTTTATATTTGTCTCTCCTGGCACCCAGCATGTACTTTAAGGTTGTTGACAAACACCTGATCTCTGCCTTCAGGAATTTACAGTTATAATTGTCTGTGTAAACTGTTAAACCCACCAGACTATAAACTTTCTCAGGATTAGGTGACTGTTCCAACTGAATCTTCCCAGCCCGGCACAGGCAATACCCAAGAGGAAAGAACGAACACTGACTGTGGTGTGAAAACCAGATGAGGCACACACTAAGTAGAGAGTGAGGTCTATCTCTCATGCACAACCGGAGGGTACACATCTGTGGCTATACAGTTTGGTGGTGCAGCCTGTGGAATTAGATCGACCTGGATTTAAATTACCAAACTTATACTCTTAGCTAGTGACCCTGAAACAAGATACTTCACCTCTTTGGCTTTATAATAGTACTTACCGTATTAGATTGTTAGGAGTATTAAATGAGTTAATATTAGTAAATAACTGAGAACGTGGTGAGTACTGCTTGTCAAATAGATAAATATATTAAAATAGGGATAACCTTACAGACTTGACATGAGGATTAAATAAGATAATAATATGCCTTCATTTATTATAATAAGCACATGGCAAGAGCTTAAAAAATAGCTATTTTTTTTGCCTGCAAACTGACTCAAAGGGGAGGCTGTTAATAAAGAAGATAGGGCAATTTGCGAGTTGATATTCTGTGACATCCAAGGAGAGGATGTGCAGAGGACCGTTGGGGACCAGAGGTAAACCACGGAAACGGCAGAAAACCACAAATACCTCCAGGTGTCCCCGGAGCAGCGTCTAAATCGTACAGAACTTGGCCGCCAGTTCTTATCAAGTCCGGGCTTCGCTAGACGCCTCAGTATCTCCGTTTGACAAATGGGAGCAAGGATCGAGGCAGAGAAGGGTTGCCGGCATAGGGATTGTCTCGGGCGAACAGCGTCGCTGAGACAGCGTCGCCGACACTCTCAAGCACGGCGGACACCACCATCGGGAAGAGCCTTTTTCGCTTTGCGGTTCCCGGTCTGTGATACGTGGCCCACGTGACCCAGTCCCGACCCCACGTGATCCAGGCCGCGTTCTCGCGGCTCCGCCCAACTCCCGCGCCGCGCGCCGCTTCCGGTAGGGGTGGAAAGCGGAAGTGTGGGAGGGTCTGCTGGGCGGGTCCGGGAGGAACGCGGGGTGGATGGAGCAGTGAGCGGGTCTGGGCGGCTGCTGGCAGCGCCATGGAGACGGTGCAGCTGAGGAACCCGCCGCGCAGGTGAGGGACCACTGGCTACGAGGAAGGGCATGGGGGCGGGAGGAGGGAAAGGCGGGAACTGGCTGAAGGGAGACAACTATGTGGGAGCCCTTGGAGGGAAGGGACCTGCAGGGCTAGGAGACTCGGCTGAAGGGGCACCTGCTGACTGGGGGGGACGTCTGGTGGGTGGAGGTCTGGTTGAGAGGAGCACCCTCTGAGGGGGATAAACGTGGGGCTGGTTTGGGAGCGCACTTGCTGTGGAGGGACTCTGCTGAGGAACGTGGGAACAAGTTAGGGAGAGCACCTGCTGAGGCCGGGGCCACTAGGGGAAGGCTCTCCGAGGACGGACTCTCGGAGGTAGGGGGGGAATACGAAAGCAGGATGAGAACCTGTGAGGTGTCTGAGGGCTTGGATGGAGAACTAGCACATGGAAAGGCTGGGTGGACTTTCTAAGGGTCCTAAGTCCCACTTGAGGGGCGCCGCGCGGGGGAAGATCTGTTGCAGAAAAGCTTTGCTCTTGAGACTGAAGGCGTGCGAAGAAAGGTTGAGGGTCGAACCAGGGAGGGGATCGTGAACTGTAGCATTTAGGAAGATGCTCTTGGTGGTGTCCCATTCTGGGATGATGGTGTCGTCGTTTTTTTTTTTTTTTTTTTTTTTTTTTCCCCCTTTGCTTGTTTGGGAATGATAGCATCCTTCATTATTGATGTCTAGAGTATCTTCCTGATATTCTTTACATTCTCCTCAGCCTTTCAAAACCCGACATTGGGAGGTAGATGAGGAAATAAGGAGATATTTTCAAGACAGGCAAACCGAGATCTAGAAGAGTTGAGAGACCTGTTTCCTTCTTTGCTCTGGGTCACTGGGCCCTGCCAGACTGTTCCCTTTTCAGGCCTCTGTTGTTTTGTAAAGATCAGCTCCAGTTCCTAGTGGTACCTGGAATTATTTTAGGTCAAGATCAGGGAGGTGGCTGATTCTAAAAAGCCTGAACTCTTGGATCGGTTGCAGTTGTCATTGGTTTTCCCTGTGGACACCAGGGTCTTATGTCACTGCCACATCTGGAGAAAACTAGGGAGTAGAGACTGAGGGAATCATGCTTCTCTGAGGTGCTGTGTAATGAACTTCTGTTTCACAGAGATGGCTGACTTCCTGCAGCGGATTGAACACTAAAGTAGGAAGTGTCAGTGTGTGGGAGTTGGGGTGGGGGAACCCAGAGGTGAGGGGAATGGATTGACAGCTTGGGCAGCACTCTTGGGGGTTTTATGAAGTGCCCAAACATTGCAGAAGGCAAGTTGCTGTTTGGAATGGTCTCATGATTCACCCTTGTGTAGTGTGCTGCAACTGTAGTATTAATGATTATAGCACTTGCTGGGTGCCAGGCACATGTTTCATGTTGAAACATGTGAAATTGCTGATATTTGGCCATTTTTGACATATAAAAATGGTAATTCCATATGGTCCAACTTATTATTGAGTCATTTGAGCCTCATAACAGTCCTATGAGGTGGATATTCCTCCATCCCTATTTTACAGATGATAAAACTGAGGCACAGAGAAGGTAGTCATTTGCTTGAGGTCCCAAGCTAGTAAGAGGCAGAGCTGGACTTTTAATATCCTGGCAGTCTGGTCCAAACTCCATCTCTTAACTGCGTCGAAGAGGATTAGGTATCTGTGTTTTGTTTCTCTCTTTGCCTGTGTGTAATCTTTGGCAAAGTAGTAAAGTAAACCTTGTTTTTTGATATTCTCATTCCTGTATCTTTGGGAATTTGAAAAATATGTTAAAAGTGTGAGAGAAGAGCATTGCAAGACTCAGTTCTTGAATGACTGGTACTTGTGGGCTGCTTAGTTTGCAGTAGACTAATTTTATTATCGTTTGTATTAGTTAGGACTGCTGTTACAAAGTATCATGGACTGGGTGGTTTAAACAACAGGACTTTATTTTCTCATAGTTCTGGAGGCTAGAAGTCTGAAATCAAGGTTTTGTAGGGTTGTTTGTTTTGAGGCCTCTCCTTGGCTTATAAATGACTCATCTTCCTGTGTCTTCATGTGGCTTTCCCTCTGTACCTGTCTGTGTCCTAATCTCTTCTTATAAGGATACCAGTCATATTTGTCTTATAAGGATACCAGTCATATTTGATTAGGGTTCACCCATATGACTTTATTTTACCTTAATTATCTCTTTAAAGGCCCTGTCTGCAAATACAGTCACATTCTGAAGTATTGGGGGTTAGGAGTTCAACATGTGAATGGGGGGGACACAATTATTTTTATTATCATTTAAAAATTTCATCAATTTATCTTATATATTTGTCATAACCCATATCAAATTTTGTGTGGAAAGAGGGAAGGGTGTACATAAATAAAATGAACCGTATAGGAGTTCTGAGATGGGAGAAAGAGCTTTGAGAATTAGCCAAACCTATGAGTGACTGCTTCATAAATACCGTTATTTCTGCTTGGAAAGATACAGGTGTCTTTTCAGAGACTCAGATTGCATGTTTCCAACAACCCCAATGCAGGAAGTGGTGTTTGTGTTCATGAGTTTGACATTTGCGTGTGACTAAGTAAGTGATGAGAGATTGATGTCTTAGTAGGAGTTACTGATTTTAAAAAGTGAGCTGCCATTAGATAATGGTGTGGTGGTAGGCGTAGAGTGCATTTCTGGGATGCTGGCCATCCACGTGGCAGTCTGACTTAGGAGAGGAGCAGCCACCAGTATTTGCCCCATGGATGGTGTATTGATGAGGCTTGTTTGTTTATGAGCAAGTGCTGAAACTGCCTAGGATCTGGGGAAGTCCCAACTGAAAAAGCTGCATCATTAAAGTCGGGCTATTTTGGTAATAGTGTTTGTTTTGTGAAGACTTGTGGTATAAAATATCGTTATGAGTTGCTTATCCAAAGATTTTCCATAGAAATCTTATTTGTTGATAATCCAGTAATAGTTTTTAGGTGAAATTCTTTATTTTGATAACTCACAAAGATTGCTGATGAAGGTTATGATTCCCATCATTACATTTGTTAATCTATTTAGCAAATATATTTTGACCACCTCTTGGTTATCAGGCACTGGAGATATAAAGATCCCTTGAGTTCAAGTTGTTTTAATAAACCCAGATCAAAAACAAAAAACCACTTAGATTGTTTTAAAGAAGTATTTGAGCAGTCATATAAAGTTCATCTGTCAAAGTATTATCAGAGGCTTGCAGCTGTCTCTCTCATGGCAATGGCAGTTTCCTTTGTTATGCTGTGGTCTCTATAGTAGATGAAGTAGTGAGTTTTGCTTTTTGTAAACCACAGAGTCAACATTTCAAAGAAACACATTTTATCTTCCTTTATATAAACTGTTTGTAAAACTTTAATTATACTTGAGAAATGAGGTATTGTCCCATTGTTTATACAGTTGTAATTCAGGGCTTTACAAAAAAAACCCCCCGGCATATGAGGTTTTATGCTAACTTCTGAGTTCAGAGAAATTTCAATTCTGAAATTTAAGAGGAGTTTCACTTCAGCCCTTTTTGTTTTGAAGCTGGGAGTTTTTATGGTGTCACTGGAATTTAATTTTTAAGACCTTTTGACTTTCAAAGTTCAGTGTAGTCATTTTGTTTTGTTGATATTCAAGTTAAGGCAATTATTGACTTGGAGCAGTTCTCCATTTCTTAGTACATAGTCCTTGGTATTTATAAAGTTCTGTAAGATTGTCCTTTTGAGATCAGTGTTTATTGGTAGACACACTTAATGTGGTCAGATTTTTTTTTTTCTTTCTGATTTTGTTATTTTCTTTAGGAAAGTACATTATTTGTGTGTGTGTATGTATTTTTTTAAATACAAGTCTTTTATTGTAAGAGTTGTTGTTGTCCAGCTAGTTTAAACATTTTTCTTTACAAAGAAATCTCCAGTGTGACTGCTTCCATATTTCACCATTTCCTGAGCTTTCTTTTCTTTATTGTCCTTTGTAGTTTCAGGAAGCCATTGTGTAGACGATATCCAAACACACAAACAAATATTTCTTAGCAAGCCCCTTCTTTAAGCCCATTAATAATTTTCAGAGGTCTCAGAGTTGTGTTAATTTTTAACCTCCCTTGTTTGTTATGATTGTCTTGCATAGTCAGAAAAATCTGAACTATCTGGAAGTTGTCAGCAGCCATTGATTTGGAGGACTAGTCAAAGGTACATGGCTGCTCATGGAAGGGTCTTGGTGAGACTATTTGAAACTCCCAGCTGCCTAGTTTTCACTTTTGATCATGTCTAAATGTACATTTTTCAGTTTCTGTTTCTGTGATACCTATAGAATTTGTGTGTTTTGACGAAATTACCAAAACCTTGCTAATGGAGAGCAAAGGTCTACTGTGTCTTCCTTGGCCTCCAGTTCAATTCATAATTAATCTTATGTTAAACATCTTTTTTGAAGAGATAGTTATATCATTTTAATTCATGAAATCTCAAGATTGAAATGGATTTTAGAGTATATACTTAATGCTTAAAGCACTTACAGCATTTCAGCCACACGACAATTCATTTTCTGCTTAAATTTTCTGATGATGGGGAGGTAGGGACCTCTTAAGGCAGTCTAAACCATCGCAGGGCAACTTTTATTGTTAGAAAATTCTTACACATGTTGAATTGAAGTCTGACTCTTGGCAGCTCTCCAACTTCTGGTCCTGATTTTGCTTATCAGGGTGACCCAGAATAAGAGTAATTCTTCCATAGAATAGTCCTTCAGTGTCCCTTAAGTTTCTTAGCTTGCTTTGTTGTTTACTATTGAAGACTTTGTAGAGAAATTCCTAGGATGCTAATTGTAGAATAAATGATGTATTTTATGTTCTAGATGCTAGTAAGTAAAATGTATTTTGTGTTTATATTTCTTCATTCACAGGCAGCTGAAAAAGTTGGATGAAGATAGTTTAACTAAACAACCAGAAGAAGTGTTTGATGTCTTAGAGAAACTTGGAGAAGGGTGAGTGTAAGGAAAATATAGGTAGACCAGTGCGTCCCAGTCTTTTTTCTGCCCCAGCATCAAAGGGATATGAACCTTCCTCATGGCAATAATTCTTAAACTTCAGGAGAAGAAAGATTAATGTTGCATATTGGCATAGCTCTAGGTGGTGTGGGAGGTAAATTTACAACTTGAAATGCCCTTCGCCACTTCATCCCAATCACTGTTCTAGACAGATTTAGTGATTCCTGGTCTTTTTAACACCAAAGACATCTATTGTTTTCTCTTTTGTAGAATTTGTGGTTTGTATGATTTTATCTATTTTACAGATAGCAATAATTAGATGATAACTCATGAAATTTTTAAATCAGATGTACTTTTATTTGCTGCTCATAGCTTTTTTTTTTTTTTTTTTTTCCTTTTTGTCTTTTTTCGTGTCCGGCAACGGATCGCAACCCTCAGTGTCGCGCCCGTACCGGACCGGGACTGGCAACGGGATCGCAACCCTCGGTGTTGCGCCCGCACCTCGCTCAGCCAGTGAGCGGGAACTGGTCTGTATGTGGGATCCGAACCCTCGGCGGGAGCGCCGCCGCACTCTCAAGCGGCGCACTGTAGCAGTGCGCCACCGGGCCGGCCCTGCTCATAGCTTCTGATCAGTATACAATAACAGTTGTTTCAATAGAAACAATAGAATTCAGCATTTTAATTTTTGCAGCTTTGTGAAATACAATAAATAAATCAAGGCCTGCCACCACCCTTTTAGCTTCCTAGGAGATCCAAAATCCCAGGTTGGGAGCCAGTGTATTTCTTGAAATTTAGACTTGCAAATGAGTTTGTAAAATACTGATGAAATGATGTTTAATAATAGGCAGTGGCCATCTCTGACTTTCATGATATGATAAAGTTTACATCATAATATTTTATATTTTTATATATCTTTTAAATTTAATCCTATGTATTTATTCCTTCTTCTGTAATAACCAGGACATTAAAATATTGGGAAAACTCCTTAAGTTTTTGTTGTTAATTTTTGAATATATAATAAATTTATATAATTCTAAATTCAAAAAGTATAAAAGTGTATACAATGAAAAAATCTGTCCCCTACCTCTGTCTCTCAGCTACCTAGAAGCAACCAGGATAGCAGTTTCTTGCATATCTTTCAGAGATACTTTATTCATATATAAGCAAATATGTGTGTTTGTGTGGGTGTGTGTTTATTTTAATCCTTTAGGAATACTTCTGGCACAAGGGAAGACCTGGCATTAACTTTTAAAAACATCTACTGTCTAATGACCGTATGCTCTTTAAAATCAGCCCTTATATGTCATTAGATTTTTTTTGGGGGGGGGTGTTGGTGTTATATATACCTAATATAGATCTTGCATAATGTTAAACCCTATATTGGGTTATATGGAATAGTTTTTCATGTATAACCTCCTTGTGAAAAACATTAGTCATCTTTTCATAAGTCGGAACAATACTCTTTGGAATCCAGCAAACAAATCAAACAGAGAAGGGAAATAAAAGATGACACCAGCTGTGCTACCAAAAGACAAATCCAAGATGAATCTGAAGACCCAGTTCACTGGCATCATTAAAGGTATGTGGAAATGACAGTCCCTCTACATCTCTTGCCTGCTGTTTTCAGCTTCAACTTGGCATCCTTGCTATTTTCCTCAAGGTAGTGAATCCATGGCCCTTAATCTAATAATGCTCATAGGTTGTACTTGGAATAAGATAAAAACTGGTAGGCATAACTGACTTATGTTATAACTGACTTGTTTCTTTCATTTTTGGTAAATGCATGTTGCAATACAAAAGCATAGACTCTGAAGCCCGATAGACCTGAGTTAAAATCCTTGCTGTACTGTTTATTGGTCATAATAAACAAGTGAGCTTGAGCAAATTGCTTAATATTTTGGAGGCTAACAATCCTCATCTATAGGAGGGGTCTTCAAAAAGTTTATGAAAAGAATTGTATTATCTTTTAATTCTCTTTTTCCATGAACTTTTTGAAGTAACCTCGTAAAGTGAAGATAATAACTGTATTTACTTCATAGGGTTATGGCAAGTACTTTATGAAATAATAGGGGTAAAGTGCTAAGTACAGTGCTTGTTGCAGTAAATGCTCAGTAAATGGCAACTATTATTGTATTATTTTTAAGTATCAACTGAAGCATTTTTCAGACCTCATCATGTCAAATCAAAGTTAAATCTTAAGTCTTGAAGTATATTTAGGTGTTCTTACAGGTAGTTCTGCTTGGGTTGATTGGGTTTGGGGTATGTCAAAAGAAAACTATAGATAGAGGATATATCAGGAATGTAATATAAGTGAAAACTAAGCTAATTATGATTTTTAAAATTGTGTTTTAGATCTATGGATGTCTTCAGCAAGGAATGTGGAAATTTTCCTGTAAAGATACCAACAGGGAGAAAACAAAGCTTCAGATCTTTCTTCTCATGTTATCACTGAATTGCTTTTTAAAAATGATACCACAGATGCTTGGATTTCTGTCATCCTGACTGAATGAATCCGAGCAAGCTTCATTTAACTAGCAAAATCCTGAAGGAAGACCTTAACTGCACTTATATACCATCCTTAAATTGTTCAGGAGCATGAATGGATTGTGGACTCTCACTGACTTGTGTCTTATGAAACAAGCTCTGGCTAAAAAACTGTATTAGATTCTGGAAGCTGCAGTCATTCTGTCTGTTTTGAGGAAATCCTATGGATCTATGGCAGAGTAGAGCCAAAGCTCCAGACCAAGATGAGTGGAGAGCACTTGGAAAGTGTTTTGAATTAAAGCCTAGTATCTTTTCCCTTCTATTATAGTTAAAGTTTTACACATTGACTCATTTAAGTCTTTAACATAGAGTGAAACCAAATCATCTTGCCCATGGTTTCATAGCTAGTGAGTGCTGTTGTTAAGACCTTGTACTTGGTTAGTTTGGCCTCAGATACTCTATTATTTCCATTTTTCTACCTTGATCTTTGCCTGTATTGCTTATGTAAGACACCTGTTTCTCCACCATCTTTGTTTTCTGCCAGTTGAAATTCACTGAGTCACTTTGTTTTTGTTGGGAATCAGGTTTTAAGGGACTTGTCTGTAAGTGAGCATGGTTACTGAAGTCTTGTAACTCTTCTTCATATTACTGTAAATGCAGTCTGTGGAGTCATGATTCTTAATTGTTCATATGAGCTATTGGAATTTTCTTTGCTGTCAAGATAGTGTAGGGAAGTATGAGGAGTGTTCAGGTCCAGATTGCTGAGTAAGTACATGCAGAGACCTCTCCTTTCCATTTCCAATACATGAGAGTAATGAATGAACACTAATTCTTTTAAATATAAGGATACATAGACAGTGGTGGGCCAGGGATAGAAAAGAAATCTATAATAATAAGAGAAGGATAAAGCATGCCATATCTTTGTCAAGAGATTGCATTTGGGCTTTCTACGTGAAGTTGTGGGCTGGGACTAGGCTCCCCATTTATGATCTTAAAGCTGAAATAAATTTGCCTTACTACTATTAGACAGTGTCATTTGCCTTTGGGGAAAAAGTGGAATTACTGGACTGACAATAAGAACGGGGCCTGGACTATATTCAGGTCTGGTATCTTGAAGGGCAAAACCCCCAAACTCCTAATACAGGACTTGGTTTAAGTTGTATAGTCCAGATGATTGTGCTAAAGGAACCATGAAACCGTGAAACAATCTGACACTGAATATGGTATAGGGAAAGATCATTCAAGATAAAATGAAATCCATGTGAAGAAATCCACTGCCATGAGATAATCAGCAGACCTAACAAATGGTAGAATTCACACGCAAGGAAAAAGACATAGTAGGGCAATCTGAAAAGGGATTTAATGTTTATGATTTTCAGAAGGATAAAAGAAGGGAATAACATCCTTAGGAGAAGAACATCAGATTATTAACATAACACTTACCCCAATGAAAAATAAAAAGTAGGGAATCTTTACAATGAAAACTATAATAATTTGAGTTTTAAAAGTCAAATAAGTTGGATAAACTAATGAACTAGACAAGCAGAAGAGACCTTATGAATTGAAAAATAGAAATGAGACTGATCACAAAATATAGAAACCAGCAAGGCAACATGGATCAAGGAGGTCCAATATAGGTCCAATAGGAATTCTAGAAGGAAATATTAGAAGAGATAGAGAAAGGAAATAGATAATGCTAAGAATTTTTCATACTTAAAGACGTGATTTTTCTGCATCTACTGAAAAGAAAAAAAGAATTAGATATGAGCCCTCAAATTGAAGAAGCTTATGAAGTGCGAGATCAACTCCTAGTTATATTATAATAAAACTGTAGAATGTTGAGGATAAAGAGGAAATCTTAAAAGCTATGTGGAGAGACTACTTGTGGAAAATTATGATCTAAAGTAAACAAACTTCTACAACAACAGTAGATGTTGGAAAACTATAGTAAAGGTGTTGAGGGAAAGATATTGTCAAAGAAGAATTTCACATCAAGCAAAACTCATTCCAGAGTGAAGGTGAAATAAAGATATTTTCAGATATAAGGGACCTCTTGTATCAAGAATGCCTTTGGATGAAAGTAACAGAACACCCAACTTATAGTGGCTAACTAATAAAGGCATCTAATAACTAAATAATAAATCTGGGGGTAAGAGATTCCATGAACCATTAATTGGCTTGATAATAATTTGGCATCTGGGTAATTCTTATAATCTCAAGATGGCTGTCTCAGTTTCTAGCATCATCCCTCACATTATAGTAACCAAAGCAAGAACGAAAGTGGCAGATGGAAATGGGCCTTCTTTTGTGCTTGTTTCTTACCAGGGATGAAAATCTTTCTCAGAAATCCTTCAGCAGAATTTTCCTCAAATTTTAGTGGCCAGACTGGTTGCTACTAGTTCAGTCACTGGCAGAAGGGAATAGGAATCCTATGACTAGCTTGAACTGCTATGATACATTCCCTGGGATCAAACACATTGCCAACCTAACAGATCAGGGGGTTATTTTAGTAAACAAGAGGGTGAAGTGGTTGAGTCCTCCACACATGGTCAGTAGTTACCTCTCTCTGGCAAAAAGTATTTGGTCCCATATTTAAGGGCCATTATACTAGTTTTGCAAATATAAAGGCTTCTGATGGAATGGAAAATTTTTATGTGCGCTCTATAGACTCAAAAAGACATTTGTTGGGCCGGCCCGGTGGCGCACTGGATAAGTGCGCCGCTTGGGAAGTGCGGCGGCGCTCCCGCCCGAGGGTTCGGATCCCACATACAGACCGGTTCCCGCTCACTGGCTGAGCGAGGCGCGGGAGCAACACCGAGGGTTGCGATCCTGTTGCCGGACACGGAAAAAGACAAAAGACAAAAAAAAAAAAAGAAGACATTTGTTGCTTTCACATTGAAACAATTCGCACCGCGCTCAGCCAGTGAGCGCACCAGCCATCCCTATATAGGATCCGAACCCGCGGCCTCGGTGCTCCCAGCACCGCACTCTCCCAAGTGAGCCATGGGGTTGGCCCACATTGAAACAATTCTTGAACATCTATTTGGCAGCTACAGTGTTCTGTTACTTTGACATTAAATGCACTGTTATTTTGATTGTTTTCACCAAGACAGTGTGAAGAAACAGGTATGTTTGGCAAATATGAATGATAATATACTCATTATTTTACTGACAGCTGCCCAGGATGCCAGTGAAAATGTAATCTGTGTAAGGTGATGATGGTGTATCATTTGATCATAAACAACTATCTTGTAAGGTATTTTGTATTATTATCATTTTACAGATGAGAAAATTGAGGCACATCAAGGTTAATAAGTGTCTGCAAATGACAGCTAATAATGTAATGGTGGTAGGACTTAAATTTTAGGTGTTTAGTTTCTAAATCTAATAATGCTCTTGTAGCCCCCAAATTGAATGCATATATAAACTTTTATTTATTTTGATAAAAAGCTCTTAAAGGAAGATGAAGTAGAAGGCAAAAATAATTTGTATGTGCTCTGTTCACCTGATACTAGCATTAAAGAGGCTTAGATTTTAATTAGTTTCTATAATATTTTAAGCATCATTGCAGGTGAGAGGAACAAGGACAGAAAGACCTTGTGGTACTAGAGTGAATGTAAGAAAACAAAGACCTCCACTTCTGTGTTGTACTTCAGGATAGATGTAGAGAGAACACAAGCTTTGTGTTCAGACACACCTGGTTTCAAATCTTGGCCTGACCTTGGGCAAATCATGTAACCTCTCTGAGCCTTTTTACATTTACAAGTAAAATAGGGATAATCACCTCTTCCTTGTTTTTTTGTAAGAATGAACTGACATGGTGGTTTCTAGGAGACAGCAAACATGTAGTGCATGGTAGCTATTATATTATTATTTTACAATAACACATTCATTAAAGTTTAAAGGTGAAGTTTTTAAGATGCTGTTTTGTGATAGTTCTCTTGACAGTTTTTTTTCCCAAAGTACTTTAGCTATTTTAGTTTTGCAAATTTAGCTAACTGTATATGTATTAGGCACTTAGGGATATACATTAGAACTATGAGTTGCTTGTGTTTTGCCACTTATTATCTCTTGGCTTGCTTTGACTTCATAAATGTTCTCCTTCCCCCAATTGTAGGTCCTATGGCAGTGTATACAAAGCTATTCATAAAGAGACCGGTCAGATTGTTGCTATTAAGCAAGTTCCTGTGGAATCAGACCTGCAGGAGATAATCAAAGAAATCTCTATAATGCAGCAATGTGACAGGTAAAGGCACGTGGGCTTTCTTTGGAGAGGGCGTGGTTTTGAATTTTCTGTGATTATTTAGAGTTTGACACATAGAGATGCATTTTCTTAAATATTTTACAGAAGGGAAAATTTAATGGAATCACTATGCATGTTCTTTACAGAAAAAAAAATAGTGAAAAAGTTTGTATGTTTTTGTAGCTAAACTTTTACAGTTTCTATTTCTGCATAGTTTTTTTTTGTTGTTTTCTTCAGTAAACCCTTTTAGAAACTAGGAAGAGGCAGAAGGTGGTACTTGCTTTTTTTTTTTTTTTTTTTATAGTGATCTCTTTTACTTCCTATTGAGAAAACATTTCTGCAGAGATAGCTAAGAAGAGATAATTCAAATGCTTTTTAGCTCTAGAAATCTTAGAATATCAGATAGGTCTATAAAAAAGTATTTATTTATGTATTACTACTCCTTCCTTTACATTAAAAAAATTATTCAAGCTAAGAGTAGTTAAGTATTTGATTTTTGAGGAACTTTGCCAAGTGCTGTAAGCAGGAAGTAAGGCCAAAAGGCGACCGCGGAACAGCACGTGGTTTGCTCTGAAATTCGGTAACAACATGGGTTCGTCACTGTGATGGGGCAAGCTTCCCCAGACTGTTTAGACTTGAAAGAAACACAAAGTTAGGGACAGTGCCAACTCTAGGGAGTTGGAAGGGGGGTGAAAAAGTCTTGCATTTGCGGCTGCATTAATTCTCCTGAATCTTTTTTGGTCACCAGACCAACTCAGTATCTCCTTTTTGTAATACTTCAACATTATCGCAGGTATCGTAGGGCTACTACCTACCGGGAAATTTGCTCTGGAGCCTCTAAGTCTCACAGACTTGTGAATGGGGGTCATTTCTCTTCTCCCTCCCTTTCTTTTTTTCTTTTTTTCTTTTTTTTTTTTTTTTATTTTTTTGGGGGCTACTACCTACCGGGAAATTTGCTCTGGAGCCTCTAAGTCTCACAGACTTGTGAATGGGGGTCATTTCTCTTCTCCCTCCCTTTCTTTTTTTCTTTTTTTCTTTTTTTTTTTTTTTCATATTTTTGTGGTTACTGTCTACTATATAAAACCTCCGTTTTTCCTGATTGGATTGACCAGATTAAGGTAGCAGTTTTCCTTTTCCTCTTCTATAAAATACATTATGGAAGCTCTTTCCAGTTGGCAGATTGGCACTTTGCCACTTTTGATAGACTCTGCAGGAGCTGTATTCCAAACAGAGTATAAAAATGCCTTTTAATTGAGGAGGAGATATTTTGAAGAGCCTACTCTGTGCTAAACACTGTAAGGAATACAAAAAATACAGGTCAGAGCCCTTGTACTGTGAAAATTTATAGACTCATTGGACAGGCCAGGGATATATATGTACAGGAAAATGTAGCAGACAATACAAGACTGTATAGAACATGTTCTGGCAGTAAGTAAGTAATTGCCTTGTAGTAATAGCTTGTAGTATTTAACTCCTATAAATACTACAGTTTAGGGAAGGGAGACCAAGTTTGTTGATCTGTACTTTAGAGACTTATTCATTCATTTCTTCATTAATGCTCATTTTGTGTGTGTGTGGTTTTTTTTCCTGCTGTCCTTATCATTGGCATGTTTCCCAAGGATAAGCAGCATTTGAAATTCTGAGAGTTAATGAAACTGAATTCATTTTAGCATCATCAGTTGTTATGCAACTTTTTTGGCCCTGATAACATTCTAGCCAGTTAAAGCTGGTAGCTCTCAGAGGGCAGATTATTTCATTTTAATGGGGTGTTTGACTTTTCTCTGAAATTTCTAGTATATCTCTCCTCAAGCTTAAGATCTAAAATTTCAGATCTGATCCTGAATATTTTTCTTTATAATAGATTGTAGTGTGATGTTTTTTTCTTATTACAAAGTGTATATTACTTAGAAAAAAAGCAAATGTAAAGAAGAAAATAAAATCACTTTTCATTTTGGAGAAGTTGTTGTTGCTAAATGCTGCTTGATGTACATATATATCCTTCCATGTCTCTTTTTTGGAGTTTTACTATGCTTACCATTTTGTAGCCTGCTGTTTTTGTGTTGTTGTTTTTTTTTTTTTGTAAAAAGGATATCTTGTGTTATCAAATATTCCCCTATAACATTTTTCAAGGATTCATGATATTCCATTATATGGCTATATCATTATTTTTTAAACTCCTGTTATCTAAATTTTAACTTTTATTAACAGTGCTGTGATGGTAATGTTGACCTAAAAGAAACTGAGGCCAAACATATAAAGTATAAAATTTATTGAACAAATATGACAGTTGAAACTATTGCTGGGTTCTAAGCAAGCGAGTGAGCCATGTGATTTACATTTGAAAAAGATAACTAGCTTCTGTGTAGATTGTGGTGGACATGAGTAGTAGAAGCAGGGGAAATCTTAGTCTTTTTTTTTTTTTGTCTTAATAAGAAAAATAGAAATGATACCTATATTAAGTATTTACAAAGCATAGAATTTATTGAACCAATGTGACAATTGCATAGGTCAGGTAGCCCTGAGAAATGTGCTCCGAAGAGAGCCAGCAGAGCTTAGCATTTCATAATCACAAGAAGGGGGAAGGATCAAAGGAGAGAGAGAGAGAGAGGACAGCCCTGCCTAATTACTTCATCAGGGTTTCTATTGGTTATATGTAACGTCTAGATTTGGGGCTGTTACTAGTTACATCCTACATGCAGGGGTCTAGGGTAAGGGTTATAAGAGGCATTCTAGGTTATTTTATGGCTTTCTGGTGCCATTATGTCTGCTTTTAAATAAAAATGGTCTTATGATAATGTTGTCTATGACAGGTGGACAGATCTCCCAAGGCAATATAATTTAGCTGACCTGGTTAGAGCACAGTTTTGTATAAGCATCTGTTTCTTGAGCATCTGTATTTTTTCCTGAGAATAAATTGTAGACTTAGAAATGCTGGTTAAAGAACCCACCCATATTTGTACTTTTTAAACGTGTTACCTTCCAGAAAAGCTATACCGTTTTGCATTCTTATCAGGAGGTTGCCCATTTTAACCTTAAATATGAATAATTAATCTTTTGAGACGAAGAATTAATTTACATTTATTCAACAGCATGAATTAATAGAGATGTTTGAAGGCTATTCCGCTAATGTGTAATGTCTCTTTCTCTAGCCCTCATGTAGTTAAATATTATGGCAGTTATTTTAAGAACACAGACTTATGGATTGTTATGGAGTACTGTGGGGCTGGTTCTGTGTCTGATATCATTCGATTACGAAATAAAACGGTAAGTTACCTTCTGAAACAATGCCGCTGAGCTAGTCTCTTATGCTGCCGTCTTTTCTCTGGCCTTTTATTCATGTGCATTCTCTTACTACCCTATCTAGAGGTGACTGTCAGGTTTCCCCTTTTCCATGGTTATTTTTCTCTCTTTACTTTTTCACATCCTCTAAATGTGGCAGTTTTGACACCAACTCAATCCAGTGATTTTTTAGCATGATTTGACTATACAATTTTGGTTATGGAATGAAATTTAAATGTTAAATGTTAATATTTTAAATGGTGGTTGAGGAAGGTCATTTAGAAGAGGTAACACTTCAAGTAAGACATGAAGGAAAAGAAAGCTCTAAGACTCCTGAAGGAACATTCTAGATGGGTAATAACCAGTGCACTGACCTTGAGGCTGGAATGAGTTTGGCATGTTTAAGTGGTAGAAGGACACTGTAGATAGAAGGGAATAGGCAAAGAGGAAACTGTAGGAGGAAGTTAGACAAGTGGGCAGGGCTACATTATGTTGGGTATTGTAGGCAATGATAATGAGTTTGAATATTATTCCAAGTGCCATAGGAAACCATTGCTGGGTTCTAAGCAAGCAAGTGAGCCATCTGATTTACGTTTTAGAAAGATGACTAGCTATGAGTGGATATGAGTGGGTGGATATGAGTAGTAGAAGTAGAGGAAATCTTAGTCTTTAGGGTTTTTTTTGTCTTAATAAGGAAAATGGAAATGATACCCATATTAAGTATTTACAAAGTTGTGAAAATTAATTTAAATATGTAAAAATACTTTGTAAATTGTGAGGTGTTATGCAGATTATAAGGTGCAGGTTTTTTTTTTTTTTTTTTTCCTTTTTGTCTCTTTTTTCGTGTCTGGCAACGGATCGCAACCCTCAGTGTCGCGCCCGTACCGGACCGGGACCGGCAACGGGATCGCAACCCTCGGCGCTGCGCCCGCCCCTCGCTCAGCCAGTGAGCGGGAACCGGTCTGTATGTGGGATCCGAACCCTCGGCGGGAGCGCCGCCACGCTCCCAAGCGGTGCACTGTAGCAGTGTGCCCCCGGGCCGGCCCCAAGGTGCAGGTGTTTTAAAACTAATTTATAACTTTTTTTTTGGTGGCTGGCTACTACGGGCATCTGGACTTGGTGTTATAGCACTACAGTGTAAACAACAGAGCAGCCAGCCAGCCCTGATTTATAACTTTTGGATTATCCATACTACTATCTCCTTTTCTTAATTTATATTATTCAGTGTTAGTTTGTTTGCCTACACAAATAACAAATTCTTTAGCTAGGAATAATATCTTAACATGAGATATAATTAAAGAAGTCCCAAAGCTTGAATTATTTATTCAATTACAAATTTGGTTCCAGGGCCGCTTATATGCAGCATTAAGTTATTTTGTTTCGGGTATTTTATTTTATTTTATTTATTTATTTTATTTTTTTTTTACTTTTTTGTCTTTTTTCGTGACCGGTAACGGGATCGCAACCCTCAGTGTCGCTCCTGTACCGCGACCGGCAACAGGATCGCAACCCTCAGTGTCATGCCCGCACAGCGCTCAACCAGTGAGCAGACCGGTCTCTATATGGGACTTTTTTGTCTTTTTTCGTGACCGGTAACGGGATCGCAACCCTCAGTGTCGCTCCTGTACCGCGACCGGCAACAGGATTGCAACCCTCAGTGTCATGCCCGCACAGCGCTCAACCAGTGAGCAGACCGGTCTCTATATGGGATCCGAACCCTCGGCGGGAGCACCGCTGCACTTCCAAGCACCGCACTCTATCGAGTGCGCCACTGGGCCGGCCCAGTTTTGGGTATTTTAAAACAATTCAAAATTAATTTTGATGGTGCTTTTGGTGTTTTTTGATATCTTAATATTAGTTTATTATATTTATGTAATTTTTAACTATTAAGTGCTGATTATTAATTATTACACATTATTTTGCGAAATGTTATAACTCTGCACTGTCCAGAATGGTAGACTAGCCATGTGTGGTTATTGAGGACTTGAAATGTGGCTAGTGTGAATTGAGATGGGCTGTAAGTATAAAATACACACCAGAGTTTGAAGAATTATTATTTAAAAAGGTAAATCTTTAATTTTAAAAATATTGATTACATGGTGGAATGATGACATTTTGGATAAGTATAATTAAGTAAAATATATTATCAAAATTAATTTTGCTTTTCATTTTTTTGAATGTGGCTACTAGAAAATTAAAAATTATATTCGTGGCTCCCATTATATTTCTATTGGGCAGTAGTACCTCAACTGATTAGCTCAGCTGGTTAGAATAAGGAATTAGTAAATCAAACCATGAGTTTTGTTCTCTTAGGCCCCACAAGGTACCCCAAACTCTAGCTTGCTGCCTTGTCAGCAGTGTTTGCTTGGACATTAGTAAAAGCTCTGTCATTTATTAGCTCTGTGGGCTTTGGCACAAATTACTTAACTCATCTGTTCCTCAGCTTTCCTATCTATAAAATGGTGGTGATAATAATAATACCCCTACCTCATTTAGTTGTTATAAGTGTTAAATGAAATAGCAAAAATAGTGCCTAGCATAGATTAAACATTTAGTAACTGTTAAGCTATTTTTAATATTGCTAATATAGTGCCTGGCTCATAATAGGTGCTTTTAAATATTTGTTGATTGATTGATAGTATAGGAGGTATTAAACCATGGTGCCTTATATCACTTGATTTTGATGACACTCTTAAAGAAAGGTGATATTTTTATTTTACAGATTGAGAAACTGAGACTGGGCAAAGTTCAATAACTTCCTTAAGTCATACAGCTAGTAAATGGAGCTAAGAATAAAAGCTAGGTCTTTCTAATTCCAAGTCGTATATTGGTTTCTAGTCCCCAAGTCCTAAATATGAGTTGTTTGTTATAAGGAGAACTGAGTGAGAGTTTGCTGATTGAGTTTGTTTAGGACTGGGGTTGGATCTGTGCAAAGTCAACATTGGACTGATCAAATCTATGTCAGTCTCCATTCTCACTTTCATTTATGTATCATCATTCAACAAATATTTTTTTTTCGTGCCAGGGATACAAAAATAAGCAAATCAAAAGACATTTTTAATGTAGGTTATGTTTCTAACAGGGAAGACAGCACATAACTAGGATATAAATACCATATAGTATGTCAGATAGTGATATGCTATAGTGACAAATGAGGTAGGATAAGGGGATAGAGAGTGGGCTAGGAATAGAGTAGGGAAGGCCTCTCTGATTTTCTGATGAGGTGACATTTGGGTAGAGATATTGAAGTAAGGAAGTGTATTGTACAGATATCTGGATGAAGAGCATCATAGCAGAGAGAGCAAACGGTAAAAAGGCCCAGAAGAAAGAGTGTGCTTGGAGTGTTTGAGGAACAGCAAGGAGGCCCACATGGCTGAAACAGAATGAGCAAGGTAAAAAGTGGTAGAAGATGAATTAGGTAGCTGGGAGGCAGATCATATAAGGCCTTGGTAAGGAGTGGCTTTTGTTTTAAGTGACCTAGGAAGCATATCAGGTTTTAACCATATCCAGCTTACATTTTAAAGGCTCATTATGGCTGCTGTGTGGAAAATACATTGTAGAAGGTCAAAGGCAGAAGCAGTGAAACCAGTTGAGAGATCATTAGAATTTTTCAGACAGGACATCATGGTGACTTGGACCAGGGTGATATATTTTAAAGATGGAAAAGATTCAAGGATGACTTCAAGACTTTTTGCTGGAGACACTGAAAGAATAAAGTTACCTTTTACTGAGAGAGGAAGGACTGTGGGAAGAATAGTGTAGGTTAGGTGGGTACGAGGGAGAGGGGCAGGGTGGTGACAGGTATAAAGAATTTGATTTTTTTTTTTCCTTTTTGTCTTTTTCCGTGACTGGTAACGGGATCGCAACCCTCGGTGTCGCGCCCGTACCGTGACTGGCAACGGGATCGCAACCCTCGGTGTCGCGCCCGCACCGTGCTCAACCAGTGAGTGGACCGGTCTCTAAATGGGATCCGAACGCCGCCGCGCTCCCAAGTGCCGCACTCTACCGAGTGCGCCACTGGGCCGGCCCTAAAGAATTTGATTTTGACATACTGTGCCTATGATGCTTGCTAGGTATTCACTTGGAGATGTTGTGTAGTCAGATATATGAATCTGATGTTTGGGGAGACATGTGGTCTGGAAATACAACTTTGGGAGTGGTCAGTGTATTAATGGTATTACAAGCAGTCAAATGCTGTCCACAGGTTGAATTAGATCTTAGAAACCTGTTCAAGAAAAGAAGTTTGGATCGATTTTTTTTCCTTTTTTTTCTAATGTGCTTATGTAAACTGATAGAATTTGAAATTCTCATTCTTTTTTCAGTTAACAGAAGATGAAATAGCTACAATATTACAATCAACTCTTAAGGGACTGGAATACCTTCATTTTATGCGAAAAATACACCGAGATATCAAGGCGGGAAATATTTTGCTAAATACAGAAGGACATGCAAAACTTGCAGATTTTGGGGTAGCAGGTCAACTTACAGTAAGTAAAATTGTTGATAACTTTCAGCTCTGTCCTGAGAAGCAATTCCTTTTATTTACTTATTTAAAAAATATGATACTGTGTCTTAGCCTGGTTTTTTTTTTGGGGGGGGGGGGGGTATCTGGCTGATTATGGAGATCCGAACCCTTGACCTTGGTGTTGTCAGCACCACACTCTTAAGTGAGTTAACTGGCCAGCCCTCTTAGTCCATTTTGCATTGCTATAACAGAGTACCAGAGACTGGGTCATTTATAAAGAAAAGAAATTTATTTGTTACAGTTCTGGCATCTGGGAAGTCTAAGATTGGGCAGCTGCATCTGGTGAGGGTCTTCTTGCTGCATCATAACATGGCAAAAGGCATTACATGGTGAGAGAGCAAGAGCATGCCTGTCAGCTCAGGTCTCTCTTCCTCTCTTTATAAAGCCATCCGTCTCATCCTGGGGACCCCAGTCTGATGACTTTATCAACTCCTAATTACCTCCTGCAGGCCCCACCTCCAATCAACATATGAACTTGGATATTAAGTTCAACACATGAAATTTGGGGGACCCATTCAATTAAGCACTTGACTTAATTGTATTAGTAAAAATTTTAGAATAGGTCACAAAAGAGATAGTAGGTCATATTAGATCCTTTCCTGGAGTTCAGATCACATAGTTCAGCCTTGTTTAACTTTTATAAAAATGAAAACTAAAACAAAAAATGATAGAAGTTTAAATTCTATTATACTAAATCAGTGTATTTATAAGAGGAACAAAAATTAAATCCAACCTGCTTTCCTTGAATAAGACATCATCTCATCAAACTTCCAGGTAGTACTCAACAGTTACTGTACTGAAAACACTCTCCTCATTCTGGGATATAGTCTCTTTTTTCTCCTCCTACCTTACTAGTGCATGGCACTGAAAAAAGAAAAGACATGTTTTCAAAACAGGAAGTCTAGAATTATCTGATTTTTGTAAAATACATAAGTATATATGAAAATATGTACAGAAAAGTAGAAACAGTTCTGGACAGGTATACACTAAAATTTGCAACAATATTATATATCAAGTGGTTTTCTTGGGTGATAGAATGAACATATATATATATATAAGTACTTTGTTTAGAACTGGTATTATGTACAGTTTTTATTTTTTTAATTTATTTTTATTTATTTATTTATTTATTTTCCTTTTTGGTGTCCGGCAACGGATCGCAACCCTCAGTGTCGCGCCCGTACCAGACCGGGACTGGCAACGGGATCGCAACCCTCGGTGTTGCGCCAGCACCTCGCTCAGCCAGTGAGCGGGAACCGGTCTGTATGTGGGATCTGAACCCTCGGCGGGAGCGCCGCTGCGCTCCCAAGCGGCGCACTGTAGCAGTGCGCCACCGGGCCGGCCCTATTTTTTAATTTTAAATATGCCTAGGACATGTTAGAGAGTCTCATTTATTGCAATAGTGCAGAAATTGATTTGATGTTTAAAAAAAAATCAGAAGCTTAATATCATGATTTATGGGCCCTACAAAAGATTTTGTTGTTAACACACAAGTAAACATTACTAAACAATATTATCTAAACTACAATCCTAATAAGGAAACAAAATAGAAAAATACATCCTTCTGGTGCTGTATAGAAGATATAATGTTAAAATTAAGAATATTCATTACATTTAGTAATAATTTTAGTAATTGATTACTCAAAAATTACTTATAATATTATTATTGCTATATTGCCTGTCTTGGCACAATTTACCCTCCCTTTTAATGTATGTAATTTAGTGTTTTCAGTATATTCACAAAATTGTGCAACCATCACCACTATCTAATTCCAGAACATTTTCATCATGCCCCAAATAAACTGTACCCTTTAGCAGTCACTTCCCTGCCCCTCCAAACCCCTGGCAACCACCAATCTACTTTCTACAGATTTGCCTAATCTGAACATTTCATGTAAATAGAATCATACAATATGTGACCTTTTGTTTCTGGCTTCTTTCATTTAACATAATGTTTTCAAGGCTCATTCATGTTGTAGTACTTCATTCATTTTTATGGCTGACTAATATTTTATTATATGGATATACCAGCTTTTGTTTATCCATTAATTAGTTGAACATTTGGGTTGTTTCTCCTTTTTGACTATTATGAATAATGCTGCTGTGAAATTCTTGTACAGGTTTTTATGTGTACCTTTGTTTTTATAAGGTACAGAGTTGCTGGGTCATATAGTAGCTCTGTGTTTAACTTTTTTAAGGAACTGTCAAACGTTCCAAAATGGCTCACCATTTTACATTCCCACTGCTGATGTATGAGAGTTCTAATTTCTCCATATCTTTGCCACTGCTTACATACTTTCTTTTTGATCGTAGCCATCCTAGTGAGTGTGAAGTAGGATTTCTTTGTGGTTTCGATTGGCATTTTACTGGTGACTTTTGATGTTGAATATCTTTTCTTGTACTTACTGGATATCTGTATATCTTCTCTGGAGAAATGTCTATTCAAATCCTTTGCACATTTTTAATTGGCTTGTCTTTTTATGGTTGATCATAAGAGTTTTTTTTTTTATATATTTTAAATGCAGGTCTCTTATAAGGTACATGATTTGCAAATATTTTTCTTCCATTGTATGAATTGTCTTTTCACTGTCTTGATTTCTTTTGAAACACAAAATTTTTAAATTTTGGCGATTTTTCAGTTTATTTATTATTTATTTTGGTGCCTTGTACTTTTGTGTTTTGTTGTTTGGTGTCATATCTAAGAAACCGTTAGCAAATGCAGTATCATGAAGATTTACTCCTATGTTTTTTACATTTGGGTCTGTGATCTGTTTTGAGTTAATTTTCATTGTGTAATATAGACATGCAGTTTAATTCTCCTACATGTTGATATCCAGTTGTTTCAACACCATTTGTTGAAAAGATTACTGTTTCTTTGGTGAATTGTGTGTTGGCTTGCTTGTCAAAAATGAATTGATTATAAATGTATGGGTTTATTTCTGGGCTTTCAATTCTATTCCCTTAATGTAAGCATATGCCTGTTCTTATGCCAGTACCACACTGTCCTGATAACTGTAGCTTTGTAGAAAGGTTTGAAATCAGTTACGTGTCAGTCTTCCACGTTTGTTCTCTTTCAAGATTATTTTGGCAATTCTGGTTTGCTTGCATTTCCATATGAATTTTGGGGTCAGCTTGTTAATTTCTGGAAAAAGGCCATTGGGATTTTGATAAATCAATTTGAAAATATTGCCATCTTTACAGTATTAAATCTTCTCATCCATGAACACAGGATGTCTTTCTATTTATTTACATCTTCTTTAATTTTTTTAACGTTTTATAATTTGCAGTGTACAAGTCCTGCACATATTCGGTTAAGTTCATTCCTAAGTTGTTTATTGTTTTTGATCCCATTTAAATAGAATTGCTTTCTTTATTTTCAGATTATTCATTGCTAGTGTGTAGGAATACACTTGATTTTTGTATATTATCTTGTATCCTGCAACCTTCCTGAACTTATTTATTGATTCTTTTTTTAAATTTGCAATGAACACATGAGTTGTTTTGCTAAAGAAAAAACAGATTTTTTTTCTTCACTAAAATAAAGTGAGAGTGTAGTGTAGGGTGATTTGGCTGGACTGATTTGTTGGGAAACCTCCAGTGCTACTAAGTTTAGATTCCTCTTTGACTGGTCCCAGGTAGGGGTGGTGGTGATGATGGGGATTGTTTCAGCATTTGACGTAAAAATGCTCACTTAATGTTCCTGATTCACAAAGTTGCCCACACGTTCTACAGTCTAGAGATCCTTAATTTCGCCCTGTGGAGACTACACCTCCAGTCTAATGCCAGGTGGGGCAAGGGAAGCCCACAAGTTGCTTTATATGATAGGAGGGTCTAGGGCTCTAACTGCTTCTTAACTGTCTTTCAACCCAGTCGTCCTGTTTTTAGGTCCACTTTTACACCTCTTAACTGTACCTGATGCCACCAGTTTCTAAGTCTTTTGGTAGGGTTATTGTTACCATCAACCTGTTTCCCTGTTTTCCCAGCAACTAATTCAAGATTCCGTTTTATAGGCTGTTCAGTAGGTTGCCACTTGGCCATCTGCTTTCCAACTGAAAAATTTTTTTGGCTGTGGTTTCTTTCCTCTTTATTTTTTGTTCTTGTGGATTTATTCCTTTTAAAAAAAAGCCCTTTAGTATCTTTTTAGTGGGTTTTGGTAGGGATTGAAAATAAAATGTATTCAATCTGTCATCTTTCCCCAGAAATCTACAATATTATTTCTGGTGGTAACATGGGTACCTTGTTGTATGGATGTACCATTATTTAACTTATTTTCTACAGTTGGATGTTGGGTGCCCATTTAGGTTGCTTTCAGTATTTCTACCATCATAAACATAATCTCTGTGATAAATATCCTTGCAACTAAACTTTTCAGCATTTCCTTGAGTATATCTTTAGGTTAATTTCTTTACATTGGAATATGGGCCAGAAAAAATGTGAAATTTTAAGCCTTTTGATGAATATTGCCAAAATGCTTCTAGAAGGGAACAGTTTCTGCTTCCAACTGCAGTATATAGATGTGCCCATTTTCCCTCATACTTGCCAGTACTGGATGGGCAATAAATTGTATCTTCCTTACCATTTTCAGAGTAATTAAAATATTATTGCATTTGATTATTGGCCATTTGTAATTAGTTGTTTGTAAATGAACTGTTCATCTTATTGTCAATTTTTCTAATCGAATGTTGGACCTTTTTAAAAAATCTGTTTGTTTAAAAAGATAAGCCAAAACTGAAAAAAATTATGTTAAAATTGTTAATCTTTTGTTGTGTATGTTGAAATATCTTTCCTAGTTTGCTAGTTGTCTTTTAATATAAATTATATTTTGGTTTTTTTTTTTTTTTTCCTTTTTGTCTTTTTTTTTTCGTGACCGGCAACAGATCGCAACCCTCAGTGTCAAGCCCGTACCGGCCCAGGACCGGCAACAGGATTGCAACCCTTGGTGTTGTGCCCGCACCTCGCTCAGCCAATGAGCGGCCGGTCTGTATGTGGGATCCGAACCCTCGGCGGGAGCGCCGCCGCGCTCCCAAGCGGCGCACTGTAGCAGTGCACCACCGGGCCGGCCCATAGTTTGGGTTTTTTTTTTGCATAGAGAAGTTTCCAAATTGTACATAGAAAAATCCATCTATCCTTTATCTTATGGTTTTTGTCTTCGATGTCATGCTTAAAAGTTTTGATGTCATGCTCCAACATTATATAACTGTCCATCTATACTTTCTTTTAGTACTCTTTTGGGTTTTATTTTTAATGTTTAAAATTTCAATCCATTTGAACTTATTTTGAAGAAAGTATAAGGTGAAAATTTAAGTGTAGAATTTTACAAATGACTAGACAGATGCCCAGTTCTTTTCTTTTTTCTGGCATAATCTCTTCTTTGTTTGCTGATTTAAAATGACAGTTATATTATACATATATATGAAGGGTCTTCAAAAAGTTCATAGAAAAATTTGTATTTGCTTTTAATTCTATTTTGCCACGAGCTTTTTGAAGTACCCTCGTGTGTGTACTCCACAGTCTGTTTCTGGATTTCATATTTTCCTGTTGCTATGCTATTGTACTAACGTAATTTTTTTTTTTTTTTAAAAGATGACCGGTAAGGGGATCTTAACCCTTGACTTGGTGTTGTCCGTAATAACTTCGTATAGCATACATTATACGAAGTTATACGAATTTCGTTTTGTCATGTACCTTTGTATTGAGGATTTGTCCCTTAAGGGAGCATCTTTTTGTAGAGAACTCTTATTGGATCCCCACTTAGGATTGGCCTCAGGGTTTTTTCCTGTCTTCTGCGTTCATAATACCCATAAAAATGGAGGCTCAGGCTATCCAGGGTGTTTCAGAGAAGAGGCAGTTTTGCAATTCACTCATCTCCAAGGTCTTCTACTTTCATTTGTTTGGGGTATTAACGTAATTTTGTAATACAGATCTAGTTGGGGTTAATATCCACTTGTTGCAATTAATTTTTTAAAAATTCTAGCTATTCAAGTATTTGTTTATAATTGAAATAACCCAGTGAAAACAACTTTACCACCATTTGAAACCACCCCTGCAAATTTGAAGCTTTAGGGCTAAGGAAATGACTTAGCAGTAAGTTAGTTCCTGTGTTAATTTTTTACATGGGACCAACAGAGTGAGATCAAATTAAAAGTATTACCTGTCATTTGCTCCTGACTGACATAACCTAAGTCACAGGTATTTCAGAAGGAACATGGGTGATCATGATGGGAAATCCTTTTGCATATTTAGTTCTGTTTTAAAATCCTTCTCTTCCTAGAGTACAGGAACTGTAGGAAGGTTCTCTTTCAATAGGGCCATGCCATTCGGGGAAAGTATGAAAGTGATTATTTGCCATAGTATTTACTGTATCTACATATTCTTTAAGCCACAAACTAAGACTTTTTATATATCATTTTAAAATATATTTTTAAGTTTCCTGATTGCACATGTGATACATGCTCATGTAAACCATCAGAATGTTATAGAAATATATGGGATGGAAAGTAAAAGTCCTTAGTGATTCTGCCATCTAGATATAACTGTTGTTGATAGTTTGGTGTATATTTCTCCAGGTTTTTTTAATGATATAACAGTATTTCTTCTTCTTAGTTGTTTTATTATTATGATCATTGTTATATGTGTTTTCCTTTCACAAAAACAGGGCAATTTTATATATAATGCAACCTATTTTTTTTGCTTCCTAATGTATCTTGTACATTTTTTCCATACTGGGAAAAATATATATCGTCTTTATTTTTTTCTTTTTAATGTGGTATTTCAATGTATGGATATTTATTGTATTTAACTTATTCCCTTTTGATGGTCATTTGAGTTGTTTCCTTTTTCTCCCTTCCCCCCATTGTAAACATTCCTACAGTCCTTGTGCTTATGTCTTGCACATAAGATAAATATCTAGATAAGATAAATATTTAGAAATAGGTTTAGATCAAAGGGTATGGACATTTAAAAGCTTAATGAGTGTTGCCAATCTGCCAACTAAAAAGTTGTACCAATTTATACTCCAGTAACATTGTATTTCAGTGCCTGTTTCAGCACTAGTTATAATTAAATTAAGAAATTTTTGTCAATCTTATTTTAGTTTGTGTTTTAATAAGTGATCGAGAATCATTTTATGTTTCTTGGTCATTTGAATTTTTTTTGTGACTTGCTTGATTATGCCTTATGTATGGTTTTTATATGTATTGTAAGTACAAGGCATTTTTTATTGTTGGAAAAATCTCTTTTCCTCGGTTGTTTTAATGCTTCGTATTGGTATATCCTTTTTCTTTTTTAGGATACCATGGCCAAGCGGAATACAGTGATAGGAACACCATTTTGGATGGCTCCAGAAGTGATTCAAGAAATTGGGTACAACTGTGTGGCAGATATCTGGTCGCTGGGAATAACTGCCATAGAAATGGCTGAAGGAAAGCCTCCTTATGCTGATATCCATCCAATGAGGGTAAGGAAATGGACAGGAAACCAGTGGGGTGGTTAGTTCCTGATTATCATTAGAAAGTTAGTTCAATGGCTTACTTGGTTAGGTTCCAAACAATAAATGAATTAATTGTATATAATTGACGTGTCACTGTAGGTGATAGACTTGCACTGACTCTTTTTTGGTGGCTGCCTGGTAGGAGGATCCAAAACCTTGACCATGATGTTATAGTACTGCGCTCTAACCAACTAAGCTACCTGGCCAGCCTGGCACTTCCACTTACTCTAGATGTAGTCACTAATTAATTTAAGTGTGATCCACTCCTCTCCGTTCCATAGGTTGTGTATTGATAGCCCTCTGTCAGGACGTAGGCCATAGAAATGCTGAGTTTGACTTGTGCGATATATAATATGTACTTTTAATAGTTTAGGCACCCACATTTTAACAAGTCAACATTAGCGGGAGCTGAGTAGTGTTGTAGCTGAGTAGTGTTGTCTCCTTTATACAGGGCATGAGCTTTCCACTTTTTCAGTTTCCACGATTCCCTGTTGTGTCACCAGGTATCAGCTGCTACTTATTACAGTGTTTTTCTCTAATTTTTTTTTATAGTAGTGTTAAGAGGAAAGCAAACTATTTTGTTGAACTTGTGTCGCTAACACCCAGCCTGGTTCATTTGTTGTCTTTTTCTTGCCTGGCTAGTATAGGTGTTTAAATTTGTGAATTCTGGTTTGTGGATCCCCAGACTCTCTTCATTTGGAGGCTTTGTACTCTCCAACTTCCATCCACTTCTAGAGTGTTAAGGGCCCATAGACTGCATACCCACTGGATTGCCCTCAATGTCGATACCCCGAGGATTTCCTAGGCTTTACTCACTCCCGGAAACCCCCATTGTAGCACTTTTATAAGACTCCAGCCCCTGCCTTCCTCAGAGTCTTCATAGTCCTCTCCATATGCTGTTCCTCTTCTTCGATTAATTAGTTTTCCTATTAAAAGACTTAACAGTTTTTTAAAGTATTCATGAACTCAAAAATAAGCTTCCCCTCTTTATTGGGGGGCAGAAATAGGGAAGGGTGGGGGGATTTACTGGCTATATTTTTAGATTTAAACAATATAATTTAAGCTGCTTATTATAAAGTTTTATTTTTTAAAAAATTGAAGTTCTTTCTTTGGAAATCCAGTAAATAATAGTCTTATTTTTCGAAACAGAATTTCACTGCAGTGTAGTGAGTCAATTTTTAATTGTTTTTTTTTTTTTTTTCCCTCCAACTATGTTGATTGGATTGGGTTGGAGGTTACTAACTTCACGTGATTTTTGGGATTTTTGGTTGATGACCTCGTTGTAGTCACTGCTGATATACAGGAGTGGTGGTGACTTTTTTTTTTTTTTAAAGATCGCAGTTAGCTTTATTGTGATTCTAGAATTGAGAAACACGCTATTCCATAAGATAGAATAAGTGTTCTCTGGTGGTGACTTTGAAGGAGGAGGGAAACTTGGCATCTCTGGGTCTGTGGTTATCTTCAGGATATGGATACCCTTAGGTCTTGCCTTCTCGCTTTAAAAGGCAATGGACTGTGGTTAGCCAAAAACAAACAAACAAACAAAAGCTCGATCGTTATTGTGAGATCTTTTAGGGGACAAGACTGCATATGAGACAGGGAAAGGGAAGAAGAGAAATATATCAGATTCTCTAATCGTCATACTTCCTACTTTGAGTTGGCCTAGATTTTGTTGGGATTTGGATAGGCTTATCAGCGGATAAGAGAGAAATCATTTTACCAAGCTTCAAATGTAATTCTAGTCATATTTTTATTGGAGCATCACTTTTATTTTACCAAAATTTTTTTTTCACCAGGCAATTTTCATGATTCCTACAAACCCTCCTCCCACGTTCCGAAAACCAGAGCTGTGGTCAGATAACTTCACGGATTTTGTGAAGCAGTGTCTTGTAAAGAGCCCTGAGCAGAGAGCCACAGCCACTCAGCTCCTACAGGTATGAATCACCCTGTGATGCTGCCTCTCTCTATTTCATTCACATGCTGACCAAAAGATGCTGTTAAGCCATCTACATGGAGATAGTAAAGACATATAAGACATTCCCTGCCTCTAGGGAGGCGTGTATCTATTTGAATAGAAAAGCTATGGAAAAGAATGTTAACTCATTGAACAAGACAATAATGCAAGAAAATTCAGGCTGTGTGGGATTAGAAAAAGGGAATTGACATTGAGTGAGTGCCTGCTATTTAATGCCATTAAATGCCATTAAATGCCATTTAATCATCACATGGACCCTGTGAAGGGTGGGAATTCTTTCACTTTTATAGGTGAGAGAATGGAGGTTTAGAGAAGTCAACTAATTTAATGCCATTCAGCTGATAAACAACAGAGCTGACATTAGAACCTGGGTCTTTCTGATTCCAAAGCACAAATGCCATCAAGTCTACCCAATTCTGACAAAGAATTGAGATCAGTGGTGGGCATTGTTGTAGCTCATGATAGGAACAAGCCACTTTGGACTGGAGATACTAGGAGTGCTTTTCTGGAGGAGGTAGCTTCTGTGCCTGGGCCTTGAAGGATGGATTGGTGATATTTGGCAGGCAGTATGCTTAGGGGTTAGGAGCTTGGATTTTGGAGTCAGACTGACCAGGTTTGAGTCCTTTCTCCCTATTTTTTAGCTTTGTGACCTTGGGCAAGTAAGTGAACCTCTCTGTTACTGTAGTTTTCTTATTTATAAAATGGAGATAAAGTACTTGCATCATATGAAGATTAAGTTATATCATGTGTGCAACTTTGAATAAAGCTTTACATGTCTTGAAGGTAGTATGGTATGAATTTGACAAATATGTGCTATTATTACTGGGCTAGGCCAATGGTTTTTAACCATTTCAGACCCAGTTCCCCCCTTTTAATAACCAGCATATATTTTTTAACACTCTTGTTATTCTTCTGAAATGAAACTCATAGATAATAAAATCTATTTATGCCCATAATGAAAAAGAATCAGTATTGTCTGTGATATAATGGATAAATATAAAGATATTTTATAATAAAATAATATATATGTCAATTGTAAAAATGCCCCAGCTTGACATAACTTGCAGGTGTAGAAATAGATACCTGTACCTGGCATCATGAATCAGTTTAGATTTAAGAGCAATAAGAAGATCAGAAACCATTTCATTCAATAAATACAGGAAAATGAATGGGTGGACACTAGCATAAAACTGATGTTAAGTAATGATAGGCCAGACTTATTTGTATATGATAAGAGAAAGAGAGAAACAATCTTATAGACTACAAGTGGAGAGAGTAATGTAATGTGATATTCTTGCAGATGAGCTTGGGTTTTACTTCTAAGTGTATTGCCAGATTCTCTTCCTGGGTGGATGGGTAGTGATGAAGTTTTATGGAAAGATATCTCCTGTATTGTGATCCCACCACATGTTAAGGCATACATACTTTCAATCTCTGGAGTACTTATAAAAGCCTTAGAGACATATGTTTTGGTGGGTGATGGAGAATAGAATGGATTGCAAAAAGAAACCCTAGGTATAATATCAGAGTAAGTTTAGAAAACAACAGGCAGCCCCCCTAAAAGAATTTCTATGTGTAACTTTCACAGCATATGTTTGTTATCATTGTGCTATAAACATGTGCAACAAAAACATAATATGGTATTAATATGAAAAACTTTAAAACAATTTTTATTACTAAAATTCAGCAATATCCCTGGGTTTCAAGTGTTTTTGCTGATTAAATAATATTTGAGTCTACATCTGTTACATACTTGTGGTCAGTTTTAGTATTTCTGTTGTAACTGTACTTTTGCACTAAAATCCTTTTAACCTAAACATGTAGTTGGAAATGTGGAAATGCTGCAGTACATTGAATAGAAAGAATAAATGGGATGAGTAAATTATTTAGTGGTTTCTAAACAATGTCTTTATTCAGTGTAAACATCCCTTCTCAAAATCACCTCCTAAATTACTGCACTTTTTGCATCTCTCTCTCTCTCTCTTTTTTTAAAACACAGTATTGAAGAACTAATTAGGGAGTGATTCTACATTTAACTTACTGGTTTAATTCATTTTTTTAATATATTTTATTTTTATTTTTGGCCACAAAGCATGTCTTAATACATTTAAAAAGATTATGGGCCGGCCTGGTGGCGCACTCGGTAGAGTGCGGCACTTGGGAGCATGGCGGCACTCCCACCGAGGGTTCAGATCCCATATAGAGACCGGTTCGCTCACTGGTTGAGCGCGGTGCGGGCGCGACACCGAGGGTTGCGATTCCGTTGCCAGTCACGGTACAGGCGCGACACTGAGGGTTGCGATCCCGTTGCCGGTCACGAAAAAAGACAAAAAAAGGAAAAAAAATTTAAAAAGTAAATAAAAAAAATAAAAAGATTAAGATCATAGAAAATAATAGAAAATACGTTCTCTGACCACAATCGCAGAAGGAAATCTAGAAAATTGACAGATGAGTGGAAATTAAACAACACTCTCCTAAATAAACAATAGGTAAAAAGAAAAACCACAGGGAAATCAGAGAGTACTTTGAGATAAAAATCAAAGTGCAACATATCAAAATTTATAGGTTGCAGGGATTATGCAGTGCTTAGAGGAAAATTTATGCTTGTAAACACCTATATTAAAAATAAGAAAAATCTCAAATCAGTAATGTAAATTTCTACCTTAAGAAAATAGAAAAAGAAGAGCAAACTAAACCAAAAGCAAATATAAGTAGGAAATAACAAAGATTACAACAGAAATATATGAAATAGGGAATTAAAAAGCAATAGAAAAAATTAACAAAACCAAAAGTTTATTCTGTAAAAACATTAACAAATTTTGCAAACCTTTATCTAGACTGACCAAGAAAAAAGAGGAGACCGAAATTACTAAAATCAGAAATAAAGCAGGGGCATTATTATGTTGTTATTGTAGTTTTTTGTAGTGGTAAGATTTAGTTTCTTTCTCTTTCCCATTTGCATTTTGGTTTTATCATTGGGTTTTGTTCTTCCTTGTGTATTCATGGTAGTGATTATCATTTTTCAGATTCCAGATGCAGAACTTCCTTAAGAATTTCTTGTAGGGCTGGTTGTGTGGTGGTGAACTCCTGCAGTTTTTGCTTATCTGGAAAATACACTATTTCTTCCTCATTTCTGAAGAATAGCCTTGCTGGGTATAGTATTCTTGGCTGTCAGTTTTTTTCTTTTGGTATTTTGAATATATCATCCCATTTTCTTCTGGCCTGTAGAGTTTCTGTTGAGAAGTCTGCCGTTAGTGTGATAGGGACTCCCTTATAGGTGACTTGATGCTTTTCCCTTGCTTCTTTTAAGATTCTCTCTCTGTCTTCGAGCTTTGCCAGTTTGACTATAATGTGTCTTGGAGAGGATCTTCTTGGGTTGAATCTGTTTGGTGTTCTTTGAGCCTCCTGGATTTGAAGGTCCATGTCTCCTTGTACCTGGGAAGTTTTTCGTTATTATTTCATTGAATAGGTTTTCCATGCTTTTTACTTTCTCTTCCCCTTCTGGAACACCCATGATTCAAATGTTTGTGCACTTAAGATTATCTTCTACTAGCTCTCTTAGATTTTCTTTAGTTTTTAAAATACTTTTTTTCCTTTTTTTTGTTTGCCTGGGTTATTTCAAAAACACTATCTTCAAGATCAGAAATTCTTTTTTTCTGCTTGTTCTAGCCTGCTGCTTAACCAGTCAGTTTTGTTTTTTATTCCGTTGAGGGAATCCTTCTGTCTCATGGTTCTGCTATATTCTTTTTTAAGGTATTAATCTCTTTGTAAATTTCCTCCTTCATATCCTGGATTTTTTCCCTTGTTTCATGATGTTGTCTAACTGAGTCTTCTTATATCTTAGTGAGTTTCCTTAAGATGGTTGCTTGGATGATTCTATAGGGTCTAGTATTTAAGAATTACTGTATTCTTTTGGTGGTGTCATATTTTGTTCGGTTTTCCTATTTCTAGTATCTCTATGTTGATGTTTGGTTATCTGATAGAGCAGTTGCTTCTTCTACCACTCTGTAGTGGGCTTTGAGAGAGCTGTCCTATTCTTTTTCTGGTCTCTACTGGTGACTCACTGATGGGCTACCTGTGCAGTGGCTGTGGCTGCTGTTGTGGCGTCAAGCTGCTTTTCTGGCAGCTGGGGCTGTGGCGGTGGCTAGGTAGGCCATCTGCAAGAAGGTGGTATTTTCAGTGTGCTCTCTTGCCTGCTTCAGAGTAGAGGAAGCTGCTCTTGGCTCCTGCATAGGATCTCAGGCGTAGCTCTCTTGCCTGTTCCAGGACAAGGAGGTGGTCACCCTCGGCTCCTGCCTAGGACCCCAGACATTGCCCTCTTTTTTTCTTGTAAGTCTCTTGGAAAAATTTTTCACTATTATTTCCTAAAGTGTACATGTATTCTGAGACATTTGAAGACATGCAGAATATGCCACAGTTCATTGTTGTGCAGGCAGGACTGTTCCACACTTTCCAGGATTGCTAGTGTCCCTACCTCTCGTTTCATTCCATTTGTGTTCTCTAAACATTGTGGCAACACTACAACATGCTCTTAACACATTTACAAGACTTCCTTCATGGGATGATACCACCCTGTTGAGAATCTCTACATTTGAGAGATAAATGGTATAGGCGTTCCAGCCAGGCTGAAAAAGATAGGCAAAGCGTGAATGTGCGTCTGTTCAGAGTTACAAAAGTAAGTGTGGTTTAGCTATTGTTCAAAGCATAAAGAGAAACATTAGACTCATTAATTGATTGAACAAAGCAGTGTGCCAGGCACTGCTTTTGCACTGTGGCCATATAAACTGTGTCTAGTGCTTTCCCCTTTCTCGTTTAAGCACCCATTTGTCAAGAGTGCCAAAGGAGTGTCAATACTGCGGGACTTAATTAACGAAGCAATGGATGTGAAACTGAAACGCCAGGAATCCCAGCAGCGGGAAGTGGACCAGGATGATGAAGAAAACTCGGTGAGTGGCAGGTATTGCTCTGGGCCTCAGGCATTACATTAATGCTTGTTATTTCATGATTGCCAAGCCAGGTAAGATGAGTAGGAGATGTTTGATCAGCCCGAAGTTGGAGACTCTTCTTGTATGATGGCATCCTAACCTAGACCAAGACTTGCTAGAGGCTTGCTTGAATCTGTGCCTATTCTTCTCTCAGTGCTTCCTAAAACACTTTTAAATTTTGCTATTTTGCCCCCTTATATTTTATTTAGTTTATATTTTGGAGAGAGAATGCTCTCTTGAGACTTGGTTTTTCCATGCCCTTTTGAGGAATATAGGTTCTATACTTAATATGTAGCTTTTATACTTATAGACTCCCTCACAACCCTCAGATTCCAAGGATGCTCACATCAGCTTTTTAGATCTGTGTTTCAAAACTCTCTTAAGGTGCAGAGGACCCTTTAGGGTTAGATATGCTGGTCGTCTCATATCGGTAAGTTTGTGATCTTCTTTTATTAAATAAGAGTCCTTTTAGTTCTACAAGGTGAGTTTAGAACCTGAACAAGTGTCAAAATCCAGAAATATTTGCACCAAGATGAGTAACAGTAATTCAGAAAACTCAAAGTCTTTTGATCTAATTAGCCCTGGTGTGTGATTTCGTCTTTTTGCAGGAGGAGGATGAAATGGATTCTGGCACGATGGTTCGAGCAGTGGGTGACGAGATGGGCACTGTCCGAGTAGCCAGCACCATAAGTGAAGGAGCCAATACTATGATTGAGCATGATGACACACTGCCATCACAGCTGGGCACCATGGTGATCAATACAGAGGATGAGGAAGAGGAAGGGACTATGAAAAGTAAGGCTCTGATCAAATATACTAACTTCTCAGACATAGCATACACATTTCAGAGATGATGGGTTCCCATGGTCCATTCAGGCTCAGTCTTGAGTTCCCTCTTCTGTTGCCACAATCAAAGGAGTTTTTATATTGGAGGGTTGTGGTGGGGGCAAGAGGTTTGGGGAGGGGGAAATCTGGCATGTGAAGTCAGGGTCTAGAAAGCATCAACAATGAGGAGGGATTTTGCTTTTGAACCTGAATAGCCATTCTTTCATTGAATGTTTGTTATTTTTTCCTTCTTTACCTTGATCTGTGGAGGCCCGCATATATAAAAGTTCATGGTAAGATTCATATTATCTTTTAATTCTATTTTTTCATGAACTTTTTGAAGTACCCTCATATATTATTTTAATGAAGAATTCGTTTCAAAGCGTAATGAAATTCTGAGCTATTTACCTATCTTCAGTCCAGTTTCATAATAGTCCATGTGTCTAACCCAGGTTTACTAACACTCAGTCAATTAAAGGTGACTGTTTAAATTTTAAAAGTTCTATCAAGTTCTTTCTGGTTTAAACCCATCTCTGCTTTTTTTTTCACATCTGGCTGATCCTTTTTCGCCTGTGACTAAGGCCTAACACCTTGTGTTCAGCTCCCATCTTAGGGTACCATGCTCTCCTCTACTGTTCAGCTATTGCCCTTCCCTTTATTCTGTGAATTACAGACAAACCCACAGATAAAAGGAATTTGGAAGTACAAAATGATAATAATTGGGGCCGGCCCGTGGCTCACTCGGGAGAGTGCGGTGCTGATAACACCAAGGCCCCGGGTTCGGATCCCATATAGGGATGGCCGGTTCGCTCACTGGCTGAGCGTGGTGCTGACAACACCAAGTTAAGGGTTAAGATCACCTTACCAGTCATCTTTTAAAAAAAAAAAAAAATGATAATAATTGAGTTGTATGATTACAATTTAGCCTAAACTTTGCATAGGTTAAAACACTAAGTCTCTATGATCTTTTCATCATCTTTTTTTCTTTCATTTTTAAAGTTTAAAGGCTCTTCCTTTAAAACAGGGATTGGAAAACTATGGTCCATGGGCCAAATCTGGCCTGCCACCTGCTTTTGGTAATAAAGTTTTATTGGACAGTCATGTCCATTCACTTATGTGTTGTCTGTGGCTGCTTTTGCATTACAAAGGCAGAGTTGAATAGTAGTGACAGAGACCATATGGTTTCCAAAGCTTAAAATGTTTGCTGTCTAACCCTTTACAGACAGAAAAAGACTGCTAATTCCTGCTCTAGGTCGTCTGCGTTGTCATTGATTATTTCATTCAATAAATTTTTTTTCAGTGTCTCCTATATCTCAAGTACTTTGCTAGGTGCTGAGGACACAGTAGGGAATGAAGAAACAGTCCTTGCCATGAAGGAAATCATTATCTAGTCTAGGGCAGAAACTGCCACCTGCTTTAATAACAATTCAATGTAGGAAATGAGTTTTAAAATAGACTTAGACTGAAAAACTCCTGGAGGAAAAAGGCAGGAAGGTTGGCAGTACATAGAGTGAGTGGAGATGTTCCAGCAGAGGGAGCAGTGTGCACAAGATCCTAGAGGCAAGAGAGAGGTGCGTGAGCTCAGGGGAACTGAAGGTGGTTTATTGTGGCTGGAATGGACAGTTCCAGGACTGTGGTTCTCAGGCCTCCTCTCTTTCACCTTTTAGATCATGGTCTTTATATTTATAATTAACCCTTTATTTTGGAAGGGAAAAGCTTTCTTTTTTTCTCGTTTTGGGCCTCGGGCTCTTCATCTCTGTTTGGCGTCTGGTCAGATTATATGGATGCTGAGTGGTAATAATGTTGGTGGGTGCATAAACTGGTATAGCTTTCTGGAATGAAGTATGTATCAAAAGGTTAAAAAGTTCAAACCCTTGACTCAGTAAATTCCACTTTTAGGAATCTGGTCCAAGAAAATAATTGAAGATGTAGACAAATGATATTCAAGAATTTTTCCAGATATGTTACATGTAATTATAAAAAAAAATCTGAATTAAATTAGCAGATGATTGGTCCAAAAAACTGTGGTATATCCATAGGGTGGAATAGAATACCATATAAAAATACTAAAAATCCTGTTTCTGAGGAATACTTAGTGCATTGGGGAAATATTTGTGTTGTTGAGTGAAAAAAGAAGGAATTAAAATTATAGCATGAGTCCAGTTTTGTAAAAGTAAAAAGATAAATATATGCATAGAAAAAAGACTAAAAAAGAAAAAGGAAAAAAAAGGCTGGAGGGAAATCAGAATATTAAAAGTGGTTATCATTGGTAATAGGATTATTGGTAAATTTTTAACTTTCTGTTTTGAAGTAATTTTAGACTTGGAGAAGAATTGCAGAAATACTACAGAGTTTCCATATACTCTTCACTAGCTCCCCCATTGTTAACTATAGTGCTGTTACCCAAAGGAGGAAATTAAAATTGTTTAATACTGTTAACTATTATTTGGACTTTACCAGTTTTTTCATTTGTTTTTCTGTTTTAGAGTCCTATCTAGGATCCCACATTGCATTTAGTTGTTACATTTCTTCGTCTCCTCCAATCTGTGATAGTTTCTCAGTCTCCTCCAATCTGTGATAGTTTCCCAGTCTTTCCTTTTCTTTTATGATCTTGAAACTTTTGAAGCGTACTGATAGTTATTTTGTAGGATATCCTTCAATTTGGGTCTGCCTGATATTTTCCTATGGTTATATTGAGGTATGTATTATTGGGAAGAATAACACAGAGGTGGTGTTCCCTTCCCAGTGAATCCTACCAGGGGATACATGATAAAATATGTGTTATTACTGGTTATTACTGGTGATGTCATCCTTGATCATTTGGTTAGTGTGGTATCTGCCAGCTTTCTCTACTGTAAAGTTACTGTTTTTCCCTTTCTAGTTGATAAGTATTTTGGAGAAAATACTTTGAGACTGTATAAATATCTTGTTTCACCTCATATATTCTCCCAATAATGTTGGCATCCATGGGTAAATATTGACTGTAACTGCTAGCACTGTGATGTGATTTTCTTTTTCTCTCATTCCTTCTACATTTATTAATTGGACTATTTCCACAATGAAGAATTGTCCCTCGTCACCTACTTATTTATTTGTGCCATTATATATTATCAGTGTGGACTCATAGATATTTATTTTTTTCTTTGGGTTATTATCTCATATTATCATTATTTATTTTGTTTCTCAGATTTTCCTGACTGGCTGTTGAGAGCATTTTCATGTTGGCTCCCATGTACTTTTGGCATGCCTCCATTCTTTTGTTTGAGCAGTGCAAGTTGCTCTAGGCCTATTTTAAGTTTTCCTTGCAGCAGCTCTGGAATCACCTATATCTGCATGGAGCCCTGTTTCTTTTACTGAAGATTGTTATTTAGAAACCAAGATCACTATTTTTGGGCTCTCCCAGTAGACAGAGCTATAATATACTGTATATATGTAGAGAAATGCTTACATATGTACATATTTAATTCATTTTTGTGTATATCCATCTGTGTGTGTGTATGTGTATATAAACCAATGAGTCCGTTATGATACCTTTGACTCCACTTCAGTACCACAGGGTTGATTCTTCCATTCCTTGTAACATCTCTCCCCCAACAGTGAGGAATCCCATTATCTATATTATTATTATTATTCCTATTATTTACAGTATATTTACTTATTTGTTCAACTCTAGTGTACTTATAAAGTATTTTTTTTAGAATTGTTACCCATACCCTTGTGAGAAACAAATTTACCAGCTAGAATACAGTGTATGTCTTTAGCCTTCAGTATCCAATCAAAACATTGTTTTCTGAAGTTACTCGGGTCAGCTTCTTTTTTTTCTGTCCTCATCAGTGCAGTTAGATGATTCATTTGTGGTACAGTTGGAGTCATTTGTCATAGTCCACATTCCACCTTGGTTGTCACTGGTAGTAGGATTATAGGTATTTTAAATTCTATTTGTTTCCCAAATTTTCTAGGGTTATTATCAGAAATAAAATTCTACCCAAAATATAGCTGATGTCATAAACTGTAAATTAGGACTTTAAACTCTGCATTGCCTTATGAATCCTTTTTGTTTCTCCCTTCTTCATCCTCTCACTGTTTTTTATGGTCTTAAGTGGATACTTATAAGGTATTTATGAAAACATTGTCAGGCCCTGTTCTAGTCTCTTTAAATTCTTATCTCATTCAGTGCTCTTGGGTTTGTTTCATCCTCTAGACTCGAGATTAAGCAGCTTACAAGTATTGTCTTTGATGTTACATAAACTATCAACTGAATGCTTTGTACTAGATTCAGTTTTACTCCCTTTCCCTCCCTTTTTCCCGTTTTATAAAATAGCCAGTGTGATTTATTGGGAAGGTTCATTTTGCAGTAATGAGCTGATGACCTCTTTTTGTTTTCTTTGACTCTGAGTGTTATATTTTTCACTTGTTTTAAGGGGTTTAATTATGTAGATAATTATAATTATAACTAGACTGGTCTATTAGCGTATGTTGTGTAGCATGCGTTATGGAAAATCTGCCCTTTTTTATTTAAAGCATTAATTTTGTTCCAAATGTAACTTTTATATTTCAAGTGCTAATTAATTCAGTGAATTGTTTGTTCTTTTCAATTTCTGACCTTGAATGGTTTTAGCATGAAAAACATGCATCTTTAATGAATGTTTAATTAAAAACATGCCTCTTTTATCGTAGTCATGACGAGAATTGTTTAAAAACCTCAGCAGTCACAGGCTAAACAACATTAAATAAGTTCAGTTCACTAACAGTCTGTTGCAAGTTTTGTAATTCAGTTTTTGGACTACTAATTTAACAGATTTTCCACTTATTTTAAGATCTTTGCTTTTATTGTTTTAGGAGTTATTTAAACTTATTATTGTGGAAAATTAAAACATATATACAATTACATGGAATATATCATGACCCCTATGAACCTGTCACCCAGCTTCAAAAATGATCAACTCACTGCCCATCATATTTCAGCCCAC